AGTTCGATCACTTCTTTTGGATCGTCTCATGTGTGCTTCTCGCTCGATCAATCTACTTTATCGGCGGGATTGTATTTTCGTGCACGTGTCTGTGTATGTTATATAGAGATTTTGAAAATCTATCTACACAATGTTTAAAATTAAGACATAAGACGTTCCGATTTTAGACGTTGTGTTGGTATACGTGTGGTATAGTTCACGTTAAGGCTCCTGACTTCTCGCATTGTCTATCTCTTTTTAATGATGTCAGAAGCACGAAAATGCATGCTAAAAATTTTTGCGAAATACGTTGAAATAAAAATATATATCCATAAAGTAACACTCGCAATTGATTAAACAAATTTGTAAAATATTCCGTGCACTCCCTTTTTGTTCTAACAATCAATAATTTGTCGTAAATTAACGTGACATACTATTCATCTTCTTAACTTATTTCTTCGCCTATTTCTATTCAGATTAATTTACAATAAATTGATTGATTGTTAGAGCAAAAGGGGAGTGCACGGAATATTTTACAAATTTATTTAATCGATCGCAACTGTTACTTTATGGATATATATTTTTATTTCAATGTATTTCGCAAGAATTCTTAGCGTGCATTTTCTCGCTTCTGACGTCATTAAAAAGAGATAGACAATGTGAAGGGCTAGGAGCCTTAAGTCTACGTAATATTAGCGACTAAAACTATCGCGTCTACAATGTCGCTTGACCAATCAGAGAGAACGTAATTCCTGAAAGCTTTATGCGCACTGTATAGACTTGCAGTACTGGCAGTGAATATCGGCATATTAAACATGCACGGAGGCAGCATTGTCTCGCTTTTACTGTACGTCAAGAAATAGTCATTGAAAAAGACTGAAATTTGTTGATCAGTATGCGATGAGCCCGGAAAAATTCGCCTCGAATATGTCTTCAGAGATTCGAGTTGGGGTATAGCTCTTCGAGATTCGGATCGATTCGACCGCGCATGACTCGCTCGGCTCTGCGTTAAATGTTCACGTAAAGTGTTCCGACTTGGCTGTCCCCGGCGATTTTCGTCACGGAGTGTGGCCGAACGGTTTACGGCTCGTGGCACGGTCGAGGGAGAGACCCGCGCGAGAGAGTCCCGTGAACGCGCTTATGAACGCGGCTACGCCGGAGCGAGCGGCCAGTGCAGCGCGGTGCAGCGACGCGGTGCAGCACGCGGTGCAGCTGCAGCTGCGTCGGATAGTTGGTCGAGGCATGTGCGCCGAGTAACGGCTAATTGGCCACCTTTCCTCTCCGGGAGAGGAACCGTCTCTCTCTCGCTCTCGCTGTTGCGGCCGACCCGTGCCAGTTTTGTTCGTTCTGTCGTGCGGTTTATACCGAGCGCGGCTGGAGCCTCCGACGCCACGGGAGAATAATGGTGTCTCGGTGCCGGGGATTTTCTTGAGAACGCGCCGGTGTCTCTGCAGGTCGAACCACTTACGCTGTAAGTCATCATCGTCTCGTCGTCGTCGTGGTTATCATTTTTCATTGAGGACGTCGAAGTCGCTACAGTAACATTCGTCGAGGCTGAAGTCGACGAAATGCTCCTGGCGACTTTCACGATCCTCGCGCGATGTAATTGAACATTTCTAGAAATCAAAACCTCGTCGTCTCCGTTGACGCTCAGTTACGAACTCGCGGCCGCGAAGAGTGCCTCGTCCCGAATTGACCGCGCGAGTGATCGCCGTGAAAGTGTATCGAACAAGAAGCCTAATTGTGCGTGCCGGGCTTTTATTAACGTAATTCGCTGGTCCGTTATTCGTAGGAAGTTATCGAGACTTTCTTCGCAGGAAAAAGTCTGATCGCGATCCACAGGTTCGAATGACGCGTCCGGCAAGTCAGTCGGGATTATTTTATCATCGATCCTCCGATTACTTTCCTCACGTTTCTCAGTGATGTCTCAGCGGAGACAATTTCTTCCGCGAAAATTCGTTCTCGGAGGAGATCTCTCTTCGTTTCCGAAAGAGCGGCTCCACTTTTCTCCGCCTCGAAATTTCATTCACCGCGACGGAACGTGCTCTTAGCGAACACTGCGCGGGTATTAATAGCCAACTAACCGTCGCCGATATCAGACATGCGGCAATAAAGATCGTAAACTTATGCTCCTCCGAGATACTCCGAGAGTCAAGTTCTACGGTGATGTCGTGTAAAAACACGAAGTGCGCGCAAAATATGTCTCAGCGGGTACAGATCGCGCGACCGGCGACTCTCGCGCGCTTTCGTCTCCCGATATTTTCCAGTTTCTCCATCATGTTCCGCGAATTCTCGTTAAAATCTGCAAATAGCTCCCTTTTACAGAGACGTTCCCTTCCTCTGTCGATTTTTCCTCGCGGTCGCGCTTGAACGCGCGATGTCCGTCGACTTTACGAGCAACGCCTCCAGGGAACGAATTACTCCCGATGGCAAAGTAACATTGCCGCGAATGAAGCCGGATCTAATTGTAAATGTCGCTTCAACGGCGGTACACTTCGACTTTTTCTGAAATTCGCATGAGTACGGATTAATATTTTTAGAATTGTAGGACTAAATTTTAAAAGTAAAATCAATATTTCTGTTAAAAAATCTTTTACTTTGGGATTCCTATAAATATATACGGAAAAGATTTTATAGTAAGAATTACTGTAGACTTTTGTGACTGAGGAATAGACTGAACACACACTCTGCGATAATTGACTATTCTTTCGCTATATATTTTAGGAACCGTGAGAAGTGTGCTATTAAAAAATTTACTAAACTTCCAGTGATATTTACTATATATCCCTTAAGATAGACTTCACTGACAGCTTATTCCTATAGTATCATGCTGAGAGAAAAAACACATACAAATTAGTGAATATCTATTTAGTGGATACTAACATCTCTCTCATATTTACTTAAAAAATCTAAGTTCTTTTATTTAAACGAGATAGATAATTGCTTTTCCAAGAAAAATTAAGGTCTCTCTCTTCTTAATGTTTTAAGAAAATATATATTTTTTTATTTTTAAAAAATATTTCATTTTAGTAGATATTCTGATAGTACTCATCAAAAAAATATTTACTGTTTCTTGGATATTTTTCCTCTTAGTGTAGAAACATGATAAAATTTAAGAAATAATTTATACGAGGAAAAACTGAAATATATTCTTTCCGTGTACGTCTTCATGCACATATTTTTAAAATATAAAATTTCAAGGATAAAGTCAACGGGTATCTGTTAAACAAATGCACGAAACGTACATTCCCTTTTACTCCGGAGAAGATCGCGCATTGTATTATGCGGAGTTAGCGATTTCCCAGACCGCGGAACGGAAGGAGACCGAGCGCTGCTTTGTTATTAACATAACGGTTCAATTATCTCCCCGCGGGGAGAACTCATTCGCGATGTTGCACAAGGTTAAGAGCGGGTTAACGAGGGGACGCTTTAAACGTAAATGAGGGAGATCTGCCTTAGCCGGCGTGTCTGGTTTTAGCGTGCGCGCCGCGGCTTAATCGTCCGGTTAATTCCGAGTTTCGCACGCGAGCGACGATTTACGTCGAAAGGGAATTACGATCTAGTTATGCCGTTCCAGTTACGGCCGGCGGAGTTCGAGCTTCGAGTGTGTCGTCACGCGCGCTCCGAAATCCACATAGCCGGCGTTTTCGCAAGCAAGCTGTCGAATGATGCGGTAATGACAGCCCCGTCGCCGAGACATCTCGCGCGTTCCTCGCCGAGCACTCGGCAAAACCCACAGTGCTGTTCTACGGTTGCTACAAAGTGCCAGTTGCGCACGACGGGGCGTCAGAGCCGCGCAGGAAACGAGATACACGATTTACACGCGTAAGAAAGCCCAGAAGCGCTCGCGAGCGAAGGCGGTTAATAATTAAAGTAACACCGACCGGCGTTAATTGCACGTATCGTCGAGAACCGGTCCGCGAGGCGCACGCGTCGTGACGACTGATCGTGAAGAGGAAACGGGACAGTGGCGATTTATCGGTATGCCTGCTCAATAGCGAGTTGTTCAATGCGCGCCGCTTTCCGGCCGATGATGTATGCTTTGAGAACTGTCAGACGATGCGTGATCGCACGCGAAGCGGTCGACGATGGCTCGAGTAGATGCCTCTAGTCAAAATTAGGACAAAGCATGGTGATTATTGATTAGACTGCATCCTGTCCGCCATTTTTAGGGCTGACGTGAGTGAAAGAGAAGTTCCAAGAATGAAACGACGCTGCACAGTTTCTCTCTCGCTCACACTCGCTCACTTTTTCCCGACAAATGGCGGACGATGTTCGAACTTTGGCTTGAGGAATTTTAAGAGATGCTAAAGTGGATGACGAGCTCGAAAAATGTCGATAACTTAGAGAGACTCCTCACTAATCCTTTTCGTATTTTCTTGTACTTATAGACAGATCTTATATAAATGTGTGCTGCTTTATTTCATCATATTTAGCGGAAAACCAAATCATGTGTATATAGAAATCTTTCTGCAAATATTTCGCATGTTTTTAAGCTTCTAAATTTAGTTGTGATGATACAGCAATGTTCTTTCAAGTTTTCCTGAGTGCAGCAAACATACGTTTGGCATACGCTTGCAAAAACTGCAGAACTTTGTGTATCAGGAAAATATTTACGTCAACTGGACAGCGTGAGATTCGCTCAGTTCTGAGATTTTGTATTGTTTTCGTCACATATTAAAGAATGCTTAAATTCATTTCCTTCATGTACTTTCATTGTGCAAAAACATTTGCGTGTTTATACAACCGATACAACGTAAAAATATTTTCTTGGCAAAGTTTTCAAGTATGGTACCCTCTAAAAACTATTAAGAGAAGAAGCAGTTTCCATGTAAATGCAGAAAATTGAAGAGTTACAGAAAATTACAATTACAAAAAAAATATTAAGAGATTAATATTGAGTTTTTATTTTAAATTTACCTTGTGCCAATACGCCGTTAGTATAGCGACGCGTGGAATATTGTTCAAACGCGTCTCACATAGACGCATCCGTTAATCATCCGTGTCAATTTGTCTTCCAGGTCTCCGCGAGTCGGAGGTCCTCTTTCGCAGTCGCTGGCTATGATCCCGCCGACCATGCACGGACACGAGTTCAATCAGCCCTTGTCGAGGGTGGTCATGGTCCGTAAAACGGACCAGAGGACCTTTAGTAAAGGGAGACGAGGCGGCGAGCCACTTCTGGAAACCGTCACCAGGGAAACTGTCGAGCTCTTCAACGGCGGCCGAGCCGAGAGGAAGTACACCTCTGAAACGAGAGACATCGTTACGCCAAAGTCCAACAGGTACGAAGGACTTTATCGCTATTACATTATTATTAGACCGACACTCTGTACATAAGAGTTTCGAACGCAATCCCTTTCTGCGTTGTCATCGGTGCGTTTTAATGATGTAATGAACAAAGTTCAAGATAAATGCGTAACCGGTAAAATTAAGACGTGTTTTGTGGCTATTCGAGTCGGAAATTACATAAGTCGGCAAGTAGTGGTTTAGACGGTAATGAATGGCCGCTTCTCGGCCGCAATTATCCCGATCATTATTACCTGTGTGATAAGAAGTGTATTCGAGCGGCGAAATTAGTACGATCACTGTCAAGCAGCGTATCGGAGCGAGCGTGTACATGTGACTTCATATAAACCTTGATATTAAATTTAGAGATAATTGTTCAATCTCATACATGTACGCATACAATATCGGGACGTGTATGACGCTTATGACTGATCTTTTCAATAGATTTGGATTTTTCATTAGATTTAAGTTCATAGTTTGTTCTAATAATGTGTTTAATGCGTTTGAGCTCCAACTTAAATCTACACGGAGAGAATATTAGTAGTTCTTTCCCATATAAATTCTCTTTAATTTTCTCATGTAGTTTCTAGAAGTGCAAGAGTAAACTGTTAACTTGTTTTGCTAAAGAACATAAGTAAATTTCACTAAAATTTCACTACGCTTCGCTAAAAATATAGAGAATGTTTCAACAGCACATTTCAGTTCCTAAAATAAGAGTAACACGTGTAAAATGAAAGGACAGAGTCAGTTACCGCAGAATGCATATCGACCTGTTCCTCGGTTATGAAATTTCACATATAGCACAAATTTCTACAATAAAATTCTCTCCGTGCACTGAAAAAAAGTTTGATAATATTTACCAAATGCGTTTTACCGTACCATTTGGTAAATAGTAACCAATAATGGTAAATGTTACCAATGTTTGATAATAATTACAAAATTGTTAGTAACATTAACTTTCATATAGTAATATTCACCTCTTATATTTAGTTGATACTATTTTACTAAATGTAGTGATTATAACACAAACTGGATAATTATTATCAAAAATTTTTCTCAGTGTGTATATTCAAACTGCTATTGAAAAATCAGTCCTTGGTGTACCATTCGCGGAGAGACGGAATGTAAAATTTGCAGATCGAACGGAGATCAATTTTTAAAACATAAATAGTATCGCGAATTGTGTTTCATCGTGTGTCCTGCGTTAGCTATGCGCGTGTACGCTCGCAATTGGTTTCTCACGTCGGGATTCCGCGCGCGAATTCCATCAGTAGTGCAGTTCCGCCTCGGCACAGAGGAGGTTCTGGAAAACCACTGAAGTAAACGATGAATGTACGTTGCGGTGTTTAGAACAAATTGATATTATAGCCGTAGTTGTACTGTTATATGCCCCTATACCTTTCTTAGCGAAGTGTTTCTTCGGTGCACGTGGTCGGAGGTGCGTTTCCTTCTCGCACGATCGTGTACCGGAAACTTGTTACACAGAGTTCGAAGTAGACAAAACTTTACCCGTCGCGGAGTCAGCTGTCTCGTGTTTCAGTCCCTTTCTCTCGGCCGGTACACGCAGGCACACACGGTACTTGCTTCTTTCAATAGAACGTAAAACGTTTTCTTTTTTTTTCATTAGCTTTTTTTTTACGTTACTATGTCTCGTGAGATTTCGTCGTCGCCGTCGTCGTTGCAGGCATTGAAATCTCCGCGTTTCGAAATTCTATTTCTCGCGCGATCCCGAATATTGTCCCGCTCACGCGACACATAATGTTGATATGATGAGAAGAGGACGCAATTAAAAATGTTCTTTTGTTCTGTGATTCGTTGCTCTTGTAGCATGCCGTCGCTCAACGTGCACGGAACGAAAAAGAAGGTGGTCGGTTTTGTCGATCAGGTGTCGCCGGACAGGTACAGAGAATCGCCTATGTGACGCAGATTAGTCTCGCTCTCTTTCTCTCTCTAGTCCGAATTCCGATTCCAGTGAAGAGGGAAGTAAGCATACGAGAAAGAGAAAGAAGGAAACGGACGGGGGCATGCGGAGAAAAGTACTTGAAAATTGATTTGTGGGACACAGAGTTGATTTCCCGGAGATAAAGTACACAAACTTTATTTCGTAGAAATAAATTTTGTTTCTCAGAAGTGAACTCTTTATATCCCACAAATGAACTTTCATGTGTCTCTTTCTCGCCGCCGCCGACGGCGCTGATGGTACATTAGTTTTGCCGGTGTTTTGTCGCTTAGATGCTTTCCGAAACTTCACTAGGATCGGTAAGTGGTCCTAGTTCACTTAGCGTATGTACGACATACGACGTAGGTGGCATGTAGAAAGCCGAGTGACAGCTGAAAGTTTGCGTGCTTACGTCGAGGCGAATCGCCGAGCAGACGGCGATTCCATAAGAACGCGCTGTAAATTGCCGGCTTTCACGTAACAGGGCGATAATGTCCGCTCGACGGAAACAACGTTCGAGCCATTGCCGGGATAAATTGAAAGTACGGGATCGCAGTCTGCTGGCTGCGAAGATACGCGCGTGTTTCCTCAGATTATCGTCATCAACGCGCTCCTCTCTTTCTCTCTCTCCTCTCTCATCCACGTGCGCATCGTCTCGCCTCGTCGCGATTTGCGATTTTCCGAATCGCGTGATTTTTACACGTCTCCGCGATGGAGACGTGTAAATTACTGTTTGACAGTCCCGCTTAATCGCACTCGATTTTACGTAACGTAGTCAGCGGGACCACGAAGAAAAAGAAAGAAATCCCCGCCGGGATCGTTTAATCGCGAGATTAATCGCCGCGAGGCCCGTTTTGTTGGGATTAAATTCTTATCGGCGGCGAACACGTCGTCTGCTCGACGTCGACGATATATGCGATTCCGCCCACGCGGGTACCGCGGCCGAGAAAAACTCTCCCGGTGCGACTCGTCTGAATGCGCGTAAAGGGCCGGGGTAAAATAAGAAAAAAAAAAAAAAAGAAAAGAAAAAGAAGAGAAAACGAGATGGAAGCAATGTGGAATAAGGTACAGCGTGTCCCAAGAGAGTTCTACCGCGTTTGGTATCGTCTCGGAACTCCTCGAGGATGCGGTCTTGAATCTGACTCGTCTTCTCAATATTCCTGCAACACACACACAGTTTCAAGTATTACAAGTCTATTTAAAAAAATTAAAATACCGCAAATAAGCAATATATTGTTCATTTAATTTCAAATGTTTTCGATGTTATCTTAGCGTTTTACTCCCGACGATAATTACAAAGAAATTTGATCGCGAAAGATTACAAGACTGCGCGAGGATCGAGAAATTCGACTATAAATTGAATGAGAAACTCTTCGCGTCGAGATTTTGGGACGCCTTGTATCGTTATAGTCACCGAGCTCTTACGGCAGGCATGTCGGGGAGTTTGCTTGGGCGCGACATAACAAAGAAAACGACAGCCTTTCTTCCATTACACGACACGACCGTGGCCGTGGACGCGTCACGGAGGCTCGTAGGAAGGAGGAAGTACGACGAGCCGCGTCGTGAAGGTAGATGTGACGACGCATACGTGGACGAGGCGCACGACGAAGTCGCCGTTCCACGTGACCTTTAACGGGGCCCGGGTGAGACCCCTGAAAATTTTCAGCCGTCTCTCGGCCTCTCCGATGTCACCACGTCTTTGGGCTGAATACTAAAATCACGCGCGCGGGGTTCATATGGGTTTCGTTGTTTCATCTCCGTGGTTTTCTCCGTGCAGGCAGATATCCTGACTCATGTAAACGCAGTAATGTAAAGTTCCCGACGATTCTCGGTAATTTGGAGCAGGTCTCTCGAGTAACCTTCGTCGCTCGGCACATTCGCGCGCCATTTGTTCCTTAATAAACAGACACCCGATCGCGAATAACTCGCGGCGCGTTATAAACCGGCGACGGAATATTCTCGGAATACGTGTCCACCTCATAAACGCGCGACGATAAATAAGCGTGTTCGCGAATTATCCGACGGCACCGACGAGCTTCTGAAGACGTCTTTGAGTCAGCGTCCATATTCGCGAGAGCGAATCGCCGCAATTCGCGACAGTCGTTTTGCCTCGGCGTATCGCCGGTCCCGCATCTTGATGCGAGGCATCTTTAACCGCGCGGCCATGCGAAATTGCTATTCATTAGTCAACGTGCAATCTTGCGCGGAACGTATTTGCATTATGAGCGCATAATGATCGGATATCTGCGGCATGAATTGTTTACGCGAACAAGCCCGGTATTCAGCCCGTCGTGAAACACACTCTACGAATAGATTAGGGACACCGTTGTAATTACACAGCGCTCTTAGATGCTCTCACGTTCGATCGCTTCGATCCATTGCGCATGCCATAATGATCGTCCGGGCGATCCATGACGGCCGAGATCGTCGCACGTTGTAATTTCGTGTTGGCTTTCCAGCTTACTCATGTCTCATCAAGATGCACGGAATATTAGGGCACCATTTCTAGAGAACGTCATGTACATTAAAGGAGAAAAAAGAATCGGTTAAAAAGAACCACAAGCCCTCAGGGTCGCAAACGATTTTGTCGAGTCAGACCCGGCATTCTGACGTAGGAATTTGTATTACAAAACTTATAGAGAGACGGTGCTAAGAAATCAACTGGAAACTCATAAATGTTCTTTTAATTACCGAAAAGTTCATTCAACCGCATAACGCGAGTATTATTAAATCGTATCTCTCTGTTTGGAAAACTAATTAAACGACAAACGTACGATCAGTAATGCGTTGAGTCAGCCTTTTTGATTGCCTTATTGAACTACTTATTTGAGCTTGTCTTGCACGAACGAAAGATTAAAACAATACAACTGTTGCCGAAAGAACTGGGACAGTTAATTGTACAACCCTGAAGTGGAGCTCTTTTAACCTGATTCAAGTTGTTTCAACCTATCACTATTTATAATGTACATACTCATGTATAATTACACCATCTCTGTGCGATGCCGTCTTAATGGGAATTCCTTCAATAAAAATTCTCTGCCAGCCAACGGGCCAGCTTTTCATTTGGCGTGAATTACATCGGGAATAATTTGGCAACGGTCCTTTTGTGGCTTTCTTAAAATGGAGAACAGTCGAGTTGAAGCGAGGAATTCTCGTTGGGACGAGCAGTTCAATCCACTGCCGATCTCTCACGTACTACACGTTCGCCTCTAGTGCAGAGAATTTTCAGCGGCCCGCTTGTGTTCACCGCGCGTCACTGCGCTGTCCGCGGCTGAAAGGAGCGCTGTGTTTCTCCGTACAGCGTGATAATTGATCTACTTTCAGGTCGAGGACAGACTCCGTAAGGTCGAAGTCCCCGTTGACGGCGTCACCAGCATCGCCGGGCCCGCTGTCGAATTCCTTGCACGGCAGTTTCCACGGTAGCTTGGGAAGCGATGGCATGTCCTGCAGCAGCGCCAGGTCCTCTTCAGCGTCTCCCGACTCTGCGAGGTATTCATCGTCGCAGGTAAGGATACCCACGAGTCTATTCGCCGGCCGGTTCCCTCACCGCGTCGCGGCGATCTCCGCGTGGTCGAGCGTCTTCCGGTTTCAACCTACTTGGCAAATTAGCCGATCTCGGTGGGAAAGCTCTGACGGGCCGGTCTCGTTGCGCCCGCGGTGCGCACGATGTCGTGCTCGAGGTGCGAGAGGATCCTCCTTAGGAGGAACGCCGTGAGGCTTTCCCTGCCGGAGAGGTGCGTCGCGCGTTGACCGCGCGAGATGACTCAGGATCATCGGTCTTTTGCTACGCGCGAGTCCGACGGATCATTGCGCCATAATCTCGACCCGGCTAGCGCGATGACTAATCTGCCAGAAGAAGAGGCCCATGCGTTCTCGCATGCTCGCGGAATCGATTTTTCCGCTCCATTTTCCGCGCGCGCGTGTCGTCTCGTTCCCATTCGCTCAAACCGTTTCTTGTGCGCGCGCGCGTTAAGTTTTTTCGCGCGCAGGTTAATGTTTCGCCTTGTTCGCAAAACGGCCGATTTGCACGTGATTTGTAGCGAGGATAGCATGTTCATTAATCGGCGTATTTATCAGCCGTATCGGCCGCCTACGTCATTTCTGTTGAGTTGATAATGCAACTCCCGATATGAAAGATCGAAATAGAGACTGTCAGAATAAAGTACTAATCAGATGTTAATTTGTATCTTCAATTATAGTGCTTCAGAAATTCGTCTCAAGAGGAATTCGCCTTTGAAAATGGGGGCTTATGCCAATCAAGCACTCCCATTATTCGAAAAGACAACTAAATAAAAAAATATATATTAGTAGATGAACTTTATACAAATATGTAGCAATATATAAATTATTTTCTAGAGGAGCTTTATATAAATATGTAGCAATATATAAATCAGAAAAAAGAGAAAGACATTGTTTTAGTACAAAGAAGCGACTCGCTGTATTGATTCTAATATATAGTTTACTCTAGACGTATAGTTTCCAATTTTTTCACTTTTTTGTATTAGAGATGTAATAGAGATGCTGCGTCATGCAAATGACAGTCGATCAAACTGACGATCGTCGTCAAAGAGCTCTGAATCTATCGTCGCTTTGAATTCCACGAGAATAATGGCTGTCCTGTCGGCTCGGTTTCAATCGTGAGTTAGATCGCGGTTTTCGATTTAATTGTCGGTTCTGTGTCCTTCCGGAGAAGCGCGCCGATTCCTTGTCGTGATCCTCATTCATATCTCGGTGATCCGCCATCACGCTCAGTAAATTTTCCCGGCGACTGAGAGAAATTTAACGAGCGGTCACGCGAACGGAAGCGTCGAGCAAAGGTTTGCGGACGAGCTCGTGCTGCAGATGATCGTGTTTGGATAGGACAATGGGAAATCGTAGCTGCCAGTCAGTACACCTCTTCTATAGCTCTACGATATATTATATTAGCATATATGAAAGAAAAGAATAATAAATGACTGATATGAAAGAAAAGAATAATAAAATCATTCTATTCTCTCTCTCTTTGGCTAAAAATTAGAATAAAACTTTCTAATTTTACTATAAAATTATTTTCTCCGCGTGGCTTTCCGACTAAAGGTCAATTTTTCTCCGATAAACTTCACGTCGTTTCAATCTGAGAATCAGAGGCATACTTCGTTGTGTATTTAGTAAGATTATCCGATGCTCTCGACACACGCGAATGCATCGTCAACGAGAGGAACGCGGAACGAGTTTCCCAATATGGTGAAATATATAGTCGACGAGATGTAGCAAATCTCTAATGAGAATTCGTAGATTTATCGTGTGCAATCTTGATCCGCCATACGGCGTTTTCTCTTTATGTGTTGTAGATAACAAAGACTGACACGCGTAAACCATCTGTGCGCAGATCGGGGCCCCCGAAGGAATTCATCAACGTCTGCCTCGACACGCACAATTTCTACCGATCGCGGCACGGAGCGCCGCCGTTGCGACTCAGCAAGCAGGTGACTTTCGGTCTTTCTTGTCCCGGCTATAAAACCACGACTCCCTGTAGCTCCCGAGAAACTGGACTTTTTAAACTCGCCTCGTTCCCCCTCGTTCTCGGAAGCACGGAGGACATGGTCTTTCTGTCATCTTTATCGAACATAGCCATAATGATAAATAGCCATAACGATAAATAACGATGTGTTTCCCTTTCAGCTGTGTAAGACGAGTCAAGACTGGGCCAACATACTAGCGGCTAGAGGTAGACTAGAGCACAGGGCGAACATTGACTATGGAGAGAATCTCTATTGTATGTGGAGCTCCAATCCGAAGACCATCGTTGGTGGCGAGGAACCAGTAAACGATTGGTGAGATTGTCTACATACATCTTATCAAAATTTACGTTATTGCCTACGTCAATCATCGTGATTAACACCAACTGCCAATAACATAATATATATATATATATATATATATATAATGTTAAATAATTTCAACAATGTAAGTTCAATATAACGCATGTGTTACGTGTAAGAGTTACATTATAGTGAGAGATTGTAACATTGGTTTAATGTTATTATTAGTTGGTATTTATTGAACGAAAGATTTTGAGAAATCTGTTCGCTTATTAGATGCAACTCACCTGAAACATTCGCTCCTTGCAGGTACGCCGAAGAGGCTCAGCATCAGTATGGAAAGGAGCCGACGACGTTAAAGACTGGTCACTTCACGCAAGTGATCTGGCGAGACAGCACAGAATTGGGGGTGGGAATGGCCAGGAATCGGAACGGGGAGGTGTACGTGGTGTGCAATTACAACCCTGCCGGCAACTTCTTGGGCAGCTTCACGGAGAACGTTTTGCCGCCCGTTGATACGAGCCCGACGAAACGAATTAACTTCAGCGATCTGAAGCAGCAATGCACAATAGACGAGCAGGCGTGGCAGCAGGAGGCATTGCTGGTTCACAATGAGTACCGGAGGAAGCATCGCGTGCCGGACTTGAGGCTGAGTCCCGAATTAACGGCCGCTGCCAAGGTAATTTTGGAATGCATGAGATTATCATGACTTCGTCGTAGTGTCGTGCATGCGATTAGCGTGTGACCTCGGCGTTCCTTCTTACGTTCACGGGCTGTTTACGGACTAGATATACGATCGGCTGCGGGCCATAAAAAACCACATAAAAGTCGTGTCCGTAGTATACATTTGTCGTCTCACACATTTAATTATCCGCAGGCCTGGGCGAACACGTTGCTGAACACAAACAAACTGATACCTCAATCGTCGTCTCCGTACGGCGAAAACATTTATTCGATGCAGTGCTCCGATCCCAAGTTGATCGTTTCCGCGCGGGAGGTCGTCTCCAAGTGGTATTCCGAGAAGAAGGAGCACAAGTTCGGCGTCGAGCCGAAAGTTCTCAATACATGTGAGTATTAAGGGAAATATATTAAGAGAAATATATTACTTTTATATAATATTCGGAAACAAATGGAGCAAACGTAATATTCGATTTTAACGGAGTAAGTAATATCTGTTTTGTTTTCTATCTGCAGGTCACTTTACACAAATCGTCTGGAAGAAAACGACCGAGATGGGCATAGCGATGGCTAAACGGGACGGTACCTGCGTTATAGTAGCGTGTTACCATCCGAGAGGTAACATAGTCGGACAGTTTACCGAGAACGTACTGAAGCCCGTGAGGGGCGGCTGTTAGCCCGCGTTCGCTCCTATCGATAATGTATCTAAACTCTGTATTTATATATCAGGCAGATATAGATGATGTCAATCACGCGTAATGTATGTATATAAGTAAGACACTTGTGCATACACTTAGAATAAACATTCCACGTACACGTATCTGTTAATTCTCCGATCCTGGCCATTTTCAGTGTCTTCCCAAAGAGATTGAGATGCTTTATATTGAAATATCAAACTCTGTCTCTCTCTTCCTTTTTTTCTTCATTGCTTTATAATAATTTATTTATAATAAATTTACATGCACATCGCACGCATCGCGTTACAACGTCGCACATATATGTATATATATATTTTTTTATATAGATACATTCTCTCTCTCTCTCTTTCTTTCTTTCTCTCTGTTTTTTCTGCTTTTATTATTTTACATTACGTACAGCCGTTTACAGTTGTATTTGTGGTCGAGGAATGCTTAATTACTTAAGTCCTATCGTAAGAACCTGCTGGACGCCTCAGTAAAACTCGCGCCATTCGAAGAGAGCTCGTTCGAGGTGCGCCAAGCTCTTGCTTAAACTTTCGAAGGAACTTGTGTGATGTTCGGTGCGGCCGCGAGGAAAAAACACGTGCGCCTCTCTTCGAAGTGGAAAACGAATTCGCCCTCCCAAACACCATCACTTTTAATTGGCAAGTCGGTGTAACTATATGGAGAAATTATTGCAATTAGAGGAGGACGCGTGTGCGAACATTATTAAAAAAAAAAATTGTCGAGTAATTTGATCATCCCGCCGAAACGCGCAAAATACGTAATATTAATTTCCTTTCGATTTCGCGAATCACGTCAAATATATTTCTGGAAAAAGAGATCTGTGTATAAGATATTGACTGAATGGTTTTGATCGAAATCTCGAAATTAAATGCACGTCGTTATGATTCTGCGAGTATCGTACGAGGAAAGAATAATAATCTTACCGTATATCTCTAACGCTAAATGCAATTATTTGCGCGTGTGTGTGTCTATGGTTCTTGTCTTACATTAACATTAGAGGCAAATCGTGATATATCAAACGAGCGTAAATCTCCAAATCAGGTAGACGCGAGACACTAAACACGAGGGAGAGAATGAGCGCGTAGTCACGAGGAATATTAACTTGTGAATTGTCAGAAGGAAAGCCGGCTTTGACGAGACAAAGATGCTGTTTCGCGGGGAGAAATCAGTTTTACACGGAGATCTTTAAAAAATTCGCAGACACTCGGATGGCGTACCCTCGCATGGCAAAGGCACGAGAACTTTGACGAGCGATCTCGTGAAGGTTGGATGGGAAAGACTCTTTGAATCGTGCGTCACGAATGCGGGAAGTGATTTTTACACCATTGAAACGACACTGAATTTCCAAGTGCGGGTAAAGTCGACGTCGCGAAGCGTGACCAAGCCGGGCACAGCGCAGACTTCTGAAAGACTTCCTTTATTACTAATGTCTAAATGTCGTCTCAAAGACGTCACTAATAAGATCCAAAAGATGTCTTATTCTTCCGGACGTTTTTCAGAAAGTTGCGCCGTCCGCGAAGTGAGCGTCGACCTCATCTCTTCCGTCGTTGATCCTCGCTCTTGAACTTCACACGAGTTTGACACAAGTCGAGACGCGTGAGGATGCGAGATATGACGACTCAAAGGGATCAAAAAATCCAATTCGGTTTTCTGCTTTTCGAAGAGTCGAACACGCGTTGCACACATGATGACTCGTTGCGCGCCTCCTCGCATCGTGCGCGAGCCGCACGATCGCGATTGTCGCACGTTGCACGGGGGGCTCTCATGCAAGGGGATCCGCAAAATCGACCGCGCCCTCATTCGAGACGTAACTCGTGCAATCCTCCTCGAGAGCAGCAGGCATCTCGCGAGAGATCGCCGTGACTTCGCCGCATTTAAATTGTTTTACGTGGTATACTCTAGAAGATTATTGATTTGAGTTCAGCTATGAAGAGTCAGGTCACATCATATTGGGCTGATCCTATAATTAATCGTAATAAGTTATATACACACCCGGATTAATAAACCGCTTACGCTCGTAACGCCGCGAGGGCACGCGAACGCATCCTCGAATGCATCCTCAACACCATCCCTGCGACCTCGCGGTTCGCCCGTGACCTTCTTTTCGATACCGGACAAAATTTCGACTTCACGCCACGTTGTCCCACGAGCAGCGAGGAACGGATTCAACGAATCCTTGCCCCGAGAGGAAATAAAAAAAGAAGAAGAAAATCCACTTTCTGTGTATTGAGAGGCAAGGGGTCTGCCAGATGACGAGCCACGTGGACCATCGCGATTATGATACGCGCGATGGGACTCCGGATTTCGCGGCAGGAGCCGTTTGAGGGGAGAGACGCGTCGTCTTCGAGCGACCTTCCTCGTTCCGATGATTTTACTTCGGCTGGCGACGACGCTGGAAGTATCGCGGCGACAATGATCCGACCTCAGTAAAAACCCTGACCTCGGTAAAATTATATAAAACTGCCGAGCTTCTTTAAGGCGAGTACTGTTTGGGACGAGCTCGCGAAGATTACATCGAGCCGAATCGACTCTCGGGGACCCGTTTGTCGTTCGAATCACGACACTGAAAACTCACCGTTGTCCTCCTCTGTAAGCTGACTTCCTCGCGTGCTAACCTACGTATAAAAGTCTATGGGTTGTCGTCGCCGGTGAGAATGACACGGTTCTTTCGATCTTCGTTAATCAAAGAGAGAAGAAAGACGGGAAGGCTAACGAAGAGAAAAGAGCGCTCGTACTCGAGTGGACAGTTCGATGGGGGATCGGAAGGTACGCCGGGCTGTGCCAGGTGTCGCGATAAGACCGGCGTGTCTCACTTCGGTCGGACCTGTGGAGCGACGGGAATGCGACAAAACTCGATGCGCGGAACATGACGACTCCACGACGGGTGTGCGGATCCCTCTGCTGCCGATCGCGAGAGGTGATCGCGTAGCGAGATTCGCGCGAGCGTGTCCTCGCGAGGGAGACGACGTACGTACACGTTCGCTTATGTTACATTTTGATTTTACACCGGCGAATCCTCCTCCCCTTCCCTTTTTCTTTCCTCTCATCTTTCTCGGCTATACGCCTCCCTCGACGAATTATCGTTTAATCTACCATTAGAGAATCCGGCTGCGGTCTCGTAATCCGCGAAGCAACTTTTCAGCTTCTTGTCGCGCCCTGCTCGTTGCGAGTACATTAGCGCTTTCCCGGGCGCGCGAGTGCGCGGCTTTACTGCTTTAATCCCTAATTACTGCGAGCACAGTTAAAGCTACTTAAAAGGCAGCAAAGCTGCTTCGCGGGGAGATTTGCTCGTGGTCGCGCGTCCATCCAACGGGGGAGCCGAGCTGGGCTAGGCTGCTCGTGAAAGCAATATCGAAGCAGGTACTGGATAATACGACTCGTTTGGTCGAAGAAACGTGTAAATTGGTCAACGAACGATTGCATTTGGCCGCGAGCGCCGTGTGTGATCGCGGCGTCGCCTGGGAAATTAGATTCTATCGTGGACCGATCGCGCTAATCCGGCTGTATTGTTTCGTCGGCCCGGCCGATCATCTTGAGTCGCGAGCGGGGACAGTCCGCGCTCGCGACCGACTAATTCAACGGATTGTCGAAATTAAGCGAGAACAATCGTGCTCACGCGCTAACTATAACTGATTCTTGGGTCCGTATCTCAGGAAACGCGGAGACTGAAACTAATATGAGAGTAAACGGAGCATAAGAAGAAGATGTAGTAGAGGAAGAAGAAGAAGAAGAAGTAGTAGTAGTATTAGTCGTAGAGTGGTAGTAGTAATAGTAGTGGAGCGGTAGTAGTAGTAATAGTAGTAGTAGTAGTAATAGATCTCGTATAGTTCATTCGCGATCGGATAACTCGTCTACCTCGTAATTGATTCGCGGCTTCGTTCGCGCTTGCGTTCGCTCGAGATGCCGTCGTGCCAATCTCGGCGCCGTCACGAGGAGTCGCGCATGTGGTCGACGATCGTCCTGCGACGCGACACTGATCCACCGTGGACAATCCGATCAGTCACGCTCAAAAGTCACGATACGCGCGCAAGTCCTAAGCGCTTAAGTCTCGTCTAAAATACTCTTCCTCCTATTTTTACGTATGGTATAATAACGGTGACTTCCGCGAGCGACACTCTCGCGTGATATGATTAAAATGGTCATATATCGTATCTGTAATATGTATAATAGACCTTCTCTCCTTCTCTCTCTTTCTATCTCTATCTCTCTTTCTCTCTCGCCGCGTTATATAATATAAGTCTTCCTAATTATAAAATTATCCGCGCTCGACACCGCTAGAACGCGACGCTAAAGTAGGAATCGAGGTGTGACTAGTGGAACGTCTCCGATCGTGTTCTCGTTCTTCGCGTCTCGAGAACATCTCCTTTTTTTCTTTGCGAGAGACGGGCGACGGACGAGCGGTCATGTACAACAATGAATCGACTTCGGTCTGAGAATCGACTTCGTCTGAGAGAGCTGACAAGCGGAAATGATGTAACGGGAAAACAGACGAATTGTCATAATTGTCATTTCGCTTCATAAAGTGAGACTTTAGTCGGAAAATTGCAAAGTATCCTAGAAAAAAGCTCGAGTTTCTTTGGCATCGGTAAAACAGCGAGATGTAAGACAGTCGAGAAATAGTTGTAGCGCGACTCTACGATCTTGAAACGCGCCAACTGAAAGAGCAGAAAGAAGAGAAAACCTTTAAGGTATTGCGCCTTCCTTCCCTCTTCGCGGATGCTTCAACGTCTTCGATATCTTTATTCAAATATAGCGAATATGTATTTACAACCCCGCAATTTCGCATTACATCATCAAAATATTTCTCTCGTCTTCGCTGTCGTCGTGTATCTATAACTAGAGTACACAGATATAGAGACGGCGCGCGCCGGAAGCTAATTTCAGTGCCTAGAAAATTATGTATCACTTTACGACCATGTGTGCGTGTGTATGTATGTATGTATGTATGTATTTGACGTTCGAATCGCGGAATATACGACGCTCGTCGGTCGCCGCGCGACGCGTGCCCCAATTGCGCGTCTTGCACCTTCGACAGGGCCGCGCGCGTCGAGTGAGGTCGTGTGCACTCACAGACGTCGATACGCTAGAGGCGACCTAGAGAGCAAAACGTTTTAAGAACGCAGCCCGCTACGTTAGGTACGAATTACAAAAGTGAGGTACGCCCGAACCGAAAAGCTCGCGACGCAGTCTACAACTCGCCCCCTCCGGCAAAACTAAGAATCGCGCGTTAACATTCGGCTGGCGCGTCTACGCGACTCTTCGCGATGACACGATGATCACGGGGTAGCGTTCGAGAACTCGGACGACTCTAAGTGCCAGCGCGCGAACACGGCGGGCGCGACCACCTCGCACTTCCGCGCGGGCAAAGTCAGCGGGTCCGATACGTATCACAGTTACGATTCGATATACTTACCCTGGGCTTAGGTCCACGAATTGTCGCACATCACGCCGCCGCGAACAAGCGAACGAAAGAAAAGATATTTATAAGTTGGGGTGGGAGCGATTGAATGCTACGGAAAATCGCACGGAGAAAGCCGAAGTTGCTTTCTTTTTTCTTTCTTTTTTTTCAGACTGCAATCATCGGCTTACGGTCGGAAACGCGACTGAATTTGGTTTATGAGGCTCGTGGTGAGGTATCGCGTTTCTGGCTGCGCGCCGGTAGCCTCGATCGAGCGAAGCAAAGTGATCTCGCCGGAGTGGTCTCACCCTAACTTACCCGAGGAGGCATCGTACAACATAGGACGACCCTCTCCGACGTTTACTGCAGTCGCCGAGCTATCGCGACGGTATTTGTACGGTCGGTCGGTACACACCGAGAGACACCTTGCTCCCGGCTGTCTCAGCCAGCCCGGATGTCAATCCCGCGAGACATTACCACGTAGCCGTGTGTTCTCTACGGTCTTTCTATGATTCGCTACGATCGCCGTTCTCGGCGCTCAGCCCTGAACGCCATGTGGGAACGCTACAGCCACTTGTTACGCGCCACGCCGGAGAGCCTGCGTCCCCACATAAGGTTATATCATACTATCGTCCCTTGTATGTGCTGTGGGTCCTGCGTGGCGCCTTGCAACTGCGGCGACTGGCAGGGCGAGCCCATCGGGCACTGCAGAGACGGTGGATCGTACAATCCACCCAAGGAACCACCGAGGCCTGCGCCGAGGCTGGGTCCCAAGGCCGCGTTGAGCTCCGGCATGGAGGGTAAGCCGACGTCGAGGATGCCCGTGTTGGTGGCACCGCCAACCTGTGAACCTTCCTCGGGCGGAGTCACCTCCAGGCCGATCGAGCCGTTCAACGCGATCTTGATCGGGTTGTGGTTGGTGTGATGCGAGAGCGCACCCAAACCGATGTCCTCCAGGCTGCTCTTCCGTCTGGTCGTCGTCAGACCTTGCCTCAGGGAGTTGCTGCGCCGCAGCAGGATGTCGTCGACGACTCTCAGCGAGTTGGACCGACCGCGGAGAGTGCCGGCCACGGTTGGGCTGTCGGGCAACGATAACGAGTTCGATTTGGTTGTGCCCAACGGTGGTGCTCTCGCCAGTCCTATACCGGAGCCACGACGACTGCCCGGTGGGCCGGCCTGTAGACCGGCCGCCGCGACTGCCGCACTCATCTGCGATACCAGCTGCGCCGAGCAGAAGCTGATGTTGCTCTTGCGCCGGGAGTTGTGCCGTTCGAAGGTCTTCTGCGCGGAGAACGGGCTGGGCCGCACCAGGTAGACGATGTCGCCTTCTTCGAGCTTCAGGTCGCAACTTGGGTTGATGATCACATAGGAGAGGCTGTTGCGCTTCTCCGACACATCGTCGTAGTCGGCGACTGGCAGATTCAGCGACTCCATCCGCGTGCGCACCAGATTCGCGATCTCCGCCCGCTCGATCTGCTGCGCGTGGTTGTCGCGTGCCTCGTCGCCGAGGCTCACCGAGTACTGGCGGGTATATGAAAGAGAAGATGAGATATCAGCGGGGCTGTCGTCGCGCCCAGATAGGGAAGTTCAGTGCGACGACAGGTGATATCGACGAGGTGGCTCGCGTGACGCATCGATCATTGTTTTCATTACTTTCTCGCCTCGCCGTTTTCACACACGAGTATCTATATAAAATTTTATCAGCTGCTCTGTAATAACAGCCCGGCTCTCGAAATTATGCGCATATAATTTGGGAAGTATGATAGATTATATGGAGATTCTTTTCGCGAGATTTTTCAAACAGGTTACACTTCGTATTTTGTACGATAAACGGCGTCACTGCTTAAGCTCGCGTCTGAATAAATTTTGGCGTCTCGGTGCAACGATCGCGTGTAACACGTGTCGCAATTGTACACGTGAACACGTGTCAAGAGTGGCTTGCCAAGAACACACGCGATGATTGTAAGCATATGCTGCGCGAAAAGCCAAGAAGAATCACGTTTGTTTCACGTTCCCACGTTAACTTTTCGTCAAGATATGAGCGTTCTAAGAGTCAAGTTTTTCTAAACGACTTGAGGAACCGTGTTCTTACCGCGGTCGCATACATACAATGCATATTATGATGCATTGTATGCCTCTCCGAGAACGTGCTTGTCTGCAGAGACCGAGAAGCGCCGGGCCTCGGTCTCCGACAAAGAATCCGTCGCAATCTCCACGCAGGAAAGTCGTAGCGACGTGAAACAAAATGCATCGGAAAGCTGAGACTGCCTGCTGTCCGAGAAGACAGCGATAATCTGTCCAGATTATGGCTCGGAATTACTGGGATTTTCGGAACAATTTTTCGAGGGCTACGCCTACTTTTTTTTCTCTCACCTCTGCCGGCACGCGTGCGACGCGCTGCACGCTCGCTGACTTTATCTCAGGACCGTCAACTTTAAAAGACCTGCGGGATTCCCCCTAGTTTGTGAAACTAGTCTTTTATGCGTTTCTATATAATATTATATTTACTATTTCTATATAATATTATATTTACTGCCAATATATTTATATTGTTGTCATTACAACGATAGAATTTGCTTCAAACGCTTGTTTCCATAGAACCGTTCAGAAATTAGAGAGAGTTCCGACTGTCTTATAAAGTTGACGATTCTGAGGCTAACCGACGTGAGAGTCAGTCCTGAGACTCGAAGGACGAGACGGAAGAGACAAGGGGAAGAAAGTAGACGTACATTGAGAAAAAAAGCGGTTTGATTGACAAAATCGGGGGTCACCAGCCATCAAAGAAATATCGGATCCATTCAACAAAATACATGTTAATGCAACAATACATTGCGTTGATATAGTAGATTTCAAAATATATTAACATATATTTTGTTGAATAGATCCAATATTTCTTTGATGGCCGGTGACCGCCGATTTTGTCAATCTAACCGCGTTTTTTCTTAGTGTAGATTTCGCAAATCGTCACGAAAATATGCATGCGATTCCGGGCGAGTCGATCAGTTACTGTCCACTGAACATCGACGTGCGAAACGAGATCAACACTGGACGGGTATACACGCATTTATTGTCATGCGTCACGTGCAACAAGTGGTTAACAAGCGCGGCTTCTGCGATGTGTCGCAGCGTCTGCTACCACCATCGTCGCAGCCACCATCTGCCGATATATCGGCTGAATGTCACATTCGATTGTCCTTAAATCTAGGCGATACGTAAGAATACGCCCGCGAGGGCGATCAAAGTTTCCTCATAAAAACGTGGTCGGTCGGGGATGCAACGGCGTTTCGCATGCGCTGCTGTGCCGCGGCAGACGAGTCTGGACGTCCATCAGATAGAATGTGAATGAAAGAGAAAAGGGAAAAAGAGAGAAATAGATAGATAGATAAATAGATAGAGGCAGAGAAATAGATTAATAGAGAGACAGAAAGTAAGGCAGAGCGATAGCGAGAAAGAGAGAAAGAAAGAGATAGAAAGAGAAAGAGAGAGAGAGAGAGAGAGAGAGAGAGAAAGGGCGGTGATAGAATCAGGCGGAGATACACAAAACCTGCCGGAGAAGAAGAAGAAGAAACAGCCACCACGTCGACGTTTTACTCACAGCAGATGCACCCTTGTCGCGGGTGGCGCAATTCGCAAGACACGATGCTGCCGCCGAATGACGCACCTTGTACGTCACACCGACGCCGGCGTCGCTTTCCGCGTCTGAGTCGCCCTGCTAAAACGACAAGCAATTCTACCCTTACTAATGATGGCGCATCCGGCCGATGCCGAGGAGCGATTTTCGCACGGCCGCGCTGCGCTGTATCTCTCGCGTGTCTCCCCGAGCGCAGCGCACATTTAGCGAATTAGGTATAATTCGGCATGTCGGACTCTCGGCGAACTGTATAATTCGATCGTTCATCGCTCGCGATTAAGGTCACCGAACGAGACAAGCGTGTCGCGAGCACACACTAAGAGTCTAGCACGATGCAAAAGTTCCAAGAGAGATATTCAGAGCCGACGGCCGGTCGGAACGGGGAAAGAGCGAGACAACGTGCTATGAGAGTCAAAGTTCGTCAAGATGCAAGACGCTCGTCCCGGCTCCGCGTATTAGAGAAAAGGAAAGACTAATTCACGAGCGCGGATCGGGCCGAGGAACGACACATGAGAGGAGAGCTAATGGGGTAGTTGGGCAGGAGGGCGAGAAACTAAGAGAGAAAGAGAGCGAGAGCACAACCATGCGCGCTACTCACAGCCGCCATTCAAAGATCTTTTCCTGTTCTTATGAAAGAATATACAGACAAGTAAGTGAACAAACTACTCCGGCTAGCTCACTCCCACACGCCGCTGCTGACGAGATTAGAAATCATGCTTACATGCGAGGAGTCAGCCACAGTGGTGTCCTGCGTCCTGTATATTCCGATCGGAATCTCGCAGGTGGTCGAGCAGAGCTTCTGGTACAGCCTGCCGTACGTCCTTATCCACATGTCGTCCTTCGTTATACGCATCTGCGATCATTGCGCGTGACACGCGCGCGCGAGCGCGAGTTACATCTTTTTTTTCCTTTCTTTTTTACTACAATTAGGTCTATTGTTGTAGTGCAGAAGGTTTGTCATTTTTCTATTAAATTCTCATAGGATATCATTGGATATTAAAAGAGCTCTGGTTAAACGTCTAAAATAATATTGAGTCGATCATTTTATTCGTAAAAATGATTAATCTCTCGAAACTGGATAATTTTATTTTGTCTATTTTATTTGACAAACACGAGAGAAACCTTTGACACCAACTTAATACAACTAGATACCCGACTAGAAATTTATCCCATGATCCTAATCAGGTTGATCAGTTATTTGGTTTATACAAGGTGATGTAGTCGGATCCCAATTATTAATAATGTTTGTTATTAGTAAGACCTGATTACTACACTGCATGATTTATTCGGACTCGATATAAATCTTATATTATTACCACAATTTTATACAAACCAGAAAACTGATCAATTTAATCGGAATTTAATGGTATAAATTTCTAGTTTTCGGGTTGTTTTAGAGTATTAGCAGAAGAAAGTGAAACTACTTACCGATGTGAGAAATCCAGATCCTGGTGCTTGATCCACTCCTAGCAGCAGTCTGACGAACGTTATCACGTAGTCCTTGACGAAGGCTTGATAGAGCAGAGTATCCAGCATCGAGGCGCTGAAAACGCTGCCGGCGGCGAACGGCAATCGAAACATGTAGGATATGTGGGATCCCCGTTCCTTTTCCCTCTGCGAATAGCATCGAATGGTTAATGCGTAAACGTTGCGCGCACATTCCAGCCGACAAGAGTGATATTTAATGAGACTTATATCGATATCTCTGTGGCTTTCAGCTGAAACAGCCCCAATGACGTTTTGCACATTTCACGGGGTCACACAATGGGTTGTCTACATTGTCCACATTGTTACATAGGTCGATCGGCGTCGATCGATTTGTTTTGTTCAGTTCCGCCAACGGTAGGCATTACATTCAGCCATCTTCGTCGGAATCGCACAGTCGTGCGTCCGTTGTTCTCAGCTCTAAGCCACAGATGTGATTGCGTTACACACGACTAACAATTTGTTCATTCATCTAATTATGTGAGAGAAAAATAGATAGATAGAGAGAAGAGAGAGGAGAGAGAGAGAGAGAGGGAGGGGGGGGGAGAGAGAAGCGGGAGGGAGGGAGGAAGGGAAGAAAATCAACGAATGATCGTTATGTACAGTGCAACTTAAGAACAAACACACCTGTCATACGTAGCATAGCACTCAAAGATCGTAATTCAGAGCTTGTGGGAAAGTTGCTGAGAGCGATAGCAAAGAGATCGGCATAACGTGTCATGCTGCAGTAATACGAAAAAAATATACGCTAGCAGGTGGCTAAAGTAAAGTATACACTGTGACAACTCCGTTCATGGAGGAACTCTAATCTACGTAAGCAGCGTCGATGTCAAGGCATGAGTCACTGTGCTGCATGACACCCGAGATCTGAGATCAAGGAGCTCTGAAGAGAATACAGTTGTCGTACTGGAGTTCAACAGTCGTCGTACGTGGCTGTTTTTATGTCGGGATAACAAGTGGAGGTGTATACATTGTAATGTGAGTGGCAACCAGAATCATCGTGACCCATGCATCGAGATTTACTTGAAAAGCGACTACTACCTCTACTAGATAGTTCTCAAAGAGTCGTCAGTGTTTTCCACGCTGTTGTCACTCGCGACCGCTTAATTCGCGTAATTAATTCGCGCTCATCGCGATGGTTATACAGCGCCCGGCTGTTCTCTAATCCGAACCCGAGGACCCGTTACTTCGCCGGGGAATGAGAATTCATCTCGCCGGATGATATGCAATAGCCCGAGCCTTGCGGGGAGGAGGTCAACGAGAGCATAACGAGAGACTGGAGCGCGTAATGCAATTACGCGCCGCGGGGGTTCATCCGCCTCTTCTATGAAAAAGAATTCATCTCGGTTTTCTCGTCGCGTCGATACCGCGGGTCAAAGGGAACAATGTGATGCGAAGTTGACGCGTCAGCCAAGTTGACAAGCAACGCAATGAGAGCAGCAGCAGCAGCAGCGGCACTAGCGGCGGCAACAGCATGAGGAAAGCAGCACTTAGAGCAAAGTGGTTTCCGCGCGGAGTGACTTTACTCTCGTAATTTCTTCCCGCTTACTTTCAACGACGGCGCGCGAGCGCCGCGCGACTTTACGAGGTCGGCGATCGGCGGGATACGTCTCAAGGACGCGTCTTTGCCGAGTCTCTCCCGCGAGCGTTATATTCCCGTTGAAATTAGATTCGTATAAAAACCGCGAAATACGTACGTCGCGCTTAGCGCGCCAAGTGGAGCGTGAATACGTGAGGAGAAGATGCGCGACATTCTCTCGAGAGGCCGCGTCGTAAAAGCATCGTCGTTTCTCCCCCATTAGCGATTGTTGTTTCGCCGATCGCGAATTTAATACTCGCTCATACGTCGCTCACGACGGCTGGGAAGGAGGAAAAAGGGGGAATATATCTCGATCCTGTGATTGATGAGATGTATTTTTGAGTCGAGCGGCTCGACGAGCCGGCCGAGTCGCGACGCGGCACGAGAGCGACAACAACGTCGGAGATGTTGGTAGTCAATCGATCAATCAATTCAACAATCAGTCAATCCATTATCAATCAGAGAGGTCAGAGAGTGATATCGTGTTACCGGGGAGCCCATCGGAGGCTCATCGGAGTAGTTGTCATCGGTAGTAGCACTGAGGAGTACCTTTTCCATTTTGCTGAGATGCAGTGCATACTTGTCGTGCGCCCGGAACTGCATGAAGCGCATGTTGCTCGACTGGGACAGCTCCGTTATGCTCTTTATGCTCGGGAAGAATCTGTTCCGGGAAGAATGAGTTTTATTCATTTGTGCTGCGGCGCAGAGTCTCGCGAGAGGCGACACACGCCAACCCGCTCTCCCGGATTAAAGAGACGCGAGGTGATAGCGTGCCTCTGGCACGCTTTAAGAAAAGTAAAAACGCGCAAGATGATCGCCTGTTTGAAAGCACGCTTGAAAAAAAAGGAAAAAAGAAAAAAGAAGAAACGTCAACGCGAATGTCTCTGGTGGTACGAGCGAGACGCTTAAGAACTCACCGTGAACTGCCGCACGACACACCTTCCGCCGGATGACTCTCTCTCTCTCTCTCTCTCTCTCTCTCTCTCTCTCTCTCTCTCTCTCTCTCTCTTTCTCTTTTTCCGGCGGAGGGTGGTAAGCGCGGGGCGACACTCACTTGAACATAGTCTGCACCGCGACGATTGTGTTGCAATCAGCCAGCGTGTCCTCCTCGGCGGAATTGTTGAGCTCCTTGTTTACGACCACGACGTTCTCGGCTAAAGTGATGCCGGCTCGCAGTAGGTCGTCCAGGCAGTCGATGGAGCCGCGCATCCAGTAGACCAGCGGAAAGTAGGACACCGCGTCGAGAAACGCGATTTCCGGCTTCCTCTCCAGCAAGAGGATGATCGGATTCAGCGACGTTTTCGACCTGGCAAACGGCCCCGCTCGTTAATAGCCTGCCAACTGTGCTCGCGCGTACGCGTCGCTCGTCAGGCAAAGATCACGACCCTCTTGACCCTTGGCGGCGCGATCGCGGGAATAAGACATTTTCGCGCGGAACGGTCGCGCGTTTAAGAGTATCGAGGATGAATGCGACAGCTACCTAAAATGCGCCCTCAACGGTATTATAAAGTTGTAAATCCCGTTACTGGCGTAATCTGCCGCCAGTATGATGGTCTTGTTCTGCCAATTGTACTCCTTGGCGTTCCTATAAGTGCAATGCTGGCACACCTGGTGAAAGAACGACCGAGAGAGAATCATGAGTGACACGGTAAGGATTTGGTTTTCGGATTGTTTCTCTTTGCATTTTTCGTCACTGACAATCGTCAGTCCGCCGGTTATACACCGCGAGTATACCTGAGCCAGCTGAAGGCAACAGAGCGGCTTTTTTTCCTTGAGGAGGTAGCACAGGGTCGGCGAGACTCCGATGAAGGGCGAGACCGGCGGGAATCCCTTGACGATCCTGCAACATCGTCGAGACTCCATTACACGTACTCGCGACGTTTCTGTGCGACGATGATATCTAAATTCCGCCGACGTGTTTCTTATTAACGAACGTCGCCCAGGAATACGATCTGCAAGAGACTACTTGAGGACACGCCTCGATATCCAGTTAAAATTGGAACGATCACGTCGCGCTTTGCATTAGCCACGACCAGGTGGCGATTTGTCTGGGACTTACGAGACTTCAACGCGACGGTTCGATTTCGGCTGTCTCGTTCGCCGATTTTCTGGAAATTTCCGAGACGAGAGTGCCACGCGGGAGACGAGAAGAGGCAAGGCGAGTGAGTCGTTTTATACCGTCTCTCGGAATCCCGCGAGTATCGTCACGTCACGCGATCCGAACGAGACGAGCCGTGTGTGAAAATAGTGCTCGATATCGCGACAACGTCTTACCCGAGCGGAAAACATTTATAACAATCGCGATGCCGTCGGCCGTAATTTATATCCACGATTAATTGCGCTCAAAGTGTTCGGAAACATCGCGGGGCGGAATTGATGGTGCCCGACATACGTGGTCTCCACTTCGACGCTTATTCTCGGTCATTATTAATCTTCACCTTTCGGGGGGTGGTTAACGCGTCATTGGGCGACCGCGAGTATTATGAGTGCGGAATTACTGGGCAGTCGTTGTTTTCGACGTTATTACACAACACGTCACGACGTCGACACTACACGGAAAAAACAACTCTGTTAGTGTAACTGGATGTTCTGTTAATCAGATGAAAAACTCGATAGAAACAGAAAGATTCCTGTAGGAGGCTCGCACTCAGTCAATTGTTCTCAATTATCTCAATGGAATTTCAACGAATGTCTAGACGACTGCTTTCGGTCACAGTAACAGAAATATTATCTCCCATCAGCGAGTTTTTCGTTCGGTTTCCGACTTATAAGTAAACCTACCTAAAAGGTACACTCCGGTTTCTTTCTAATTTGACACAATGTAGAAGGACAAAAAATATTTAGGTCATATTTTTTCATTTTGGCCCATTTTGAGTTTCACGGGCAGTTTATAGCTTTTTAATGTTCTCACTCCTATCATCAACATGTATAACAAAAATGCATAAGAAATAAAACTGAATACAAGATACAGGCGTTTTTGGTTTGATGATTATGAAGTCAAATGTGTAAAATTATTTGTACAAATAATAAAATATTTAAACATTAAAATATTTAAATAAAACATAAAAACTTGAAAAAAATTATTTATACAAATAATTTCTCGGTTTAGCCGAGATTCGAATCATTTTTTATTAATTTAGTACAGATTTAAAATATTTCGGTTGGAATCTCAGCAAACTCAGCAAATCTTAGCTAAAGAAATTCGGAATGGTTTCTGTCTATGCGATTTTGTTAAAATTTTAATTAAAATTGCTGGATTTCTCTCTTTCTCTCGGTTTAACCGAGATTCGAACCATTTTTGACTAATTTAGCACATACTTAAAATATTTCGGTTGGAATCTCGGCTTGATGAGAGGAGTGAGAACATTAAAAAGCTATAAACTGCCCGTGAAACTCAAAGTGGGTCAAAATGAAAAAATATGATTTAAATATTTTTTGTACTTCTACATTTGTGCCAAATTAGAAAGAAATCGGAGTGTAACTTTTGAGTATATTTACTTGTTAGTTATACAAACTGAAATTTCTCTTTTCCGTGTATCTTTGCTACAAGCGAATTTTTCAAGTTCAGCTAAGACGCACCGCTACGAGCGTGAACTACGTATCGTGGTGTAATCAAATATAAAGCTAAGATCAAAAGAGAGATGTGTATACAAACATGGAAGTATATATATATATGTATCCTGAGAAAAAACGAACAAGCGAACCAAATTCACCGAGATGTGATAAAAGCGTAAGAAATGAGAGAGGACTCACCCTTTGAAGCTGCTGGACGGAAGTCGTGCGGCAAGACGGCAGTGTACAAGGACGATGCAGGAAGGAAGACATCGAAAACATCCATGGAGGACATATAGGGTGTCAGGCAGGACAGCATCGAGCAGCGATTCAACGGCACCGTCCGGTGCCGTTAGTGAAACAGGCATCGAGAGACATTGAGACAGGACACATCAAACCATCGACTTGCACGATTATACTTAAACGGATCGGATAAGAAAGATCCGGTGCGTCGGCATGAGAAGTTTGCGCGCGGAACTTGAACATACTCGACCGTAATATCGTATTCGACGCGACGGTTCAGACGGAGAGAAGTGCGAAATAATAAAGATATGCGTATAACGAGGAGAGAGAATCTCTATAAATCGGTATCTATCTTCGAGCTAAGTGGGATCCTACTTCGACGCTATGTTGCTATGAATTTTTCTTCATCTACGTACACTGAGTCACAAAACAGCTTGGATGCATTTCGAACACTGAAGCTGCGACGCTTCAACATGTCAAAATTAAAAGCAACTGCTGCCGCGTATGAATCGGTTATGAACACAGAGTGCATTAACACGTATTAATATGTCATCACGTATTCTTACATTTATTTTCGCACTCTGCACTGTCACTTCGGCTCCTGTCATAACCGATTCATATGCAAATGCGTCAGCAGTACCTCTCAATTTTGATATCTTGAAGTGTTGCAACTTCAAGTGCTCGAAATGCGTTCAAGCTATTTCACGACTCAGTTGTAAGGTAAATGTCCCAATGCCCGGACATGTACCTAACTCCGAACACTCTTATTATTTTGAATATTTCTCTAAATATTTCATCTTTCAACGTACACTAAATATAAATATTAAATGTATGTATATCAAATATTTATATATACCAAAAATTATATGTATGTATTGTACGTTGAAAGTTGAAATATTCATATTCAAATATAAAAATAATAACAATGTCCGGAGATTGGTACATTTACCTTACTCTGTAAATTTCTCAAAGTGAAATTTTTCTCGAAAAGTGGAGCGACAGTCGATTCAGTCGAGTGACTACTCACTCACAGAGTGAATTCTTCGTTCAAGAATAAAGAATAAATGTTTTTTTGCAAAATTGTGAAGGATGAGTTTGATGTATTTCCCCCACTGTCTCACAGAAACATAAGTCCGCTTCAAGTTAAAATATTCGCTTGAATTCTAAGAATTCATTTTATAAATTTGCCATCTAAATGTATGGATTAAGAGTCAGGTTTGAGTGAAAGATTCACTCTTGTGATTCGGAGTGACAGTAATGCCACTATCGCCTTGAGTGACTTTTCACTCATTCCGAGTCAGATTTCACTCCAAGAAATCTCGGGAGTATGAGGACATCTGACAGAATGTACTGTGTTGCTAGACTATAAACGAGCATAACACTAGCCTTGGTCGAATCTAATTGAGGAGTGGAACACGTCGAAAGGATGAGTACGTTTTCCCGGCGTTTCGCGCATCATTCTAATATTCCGAGCAGGTCGACACTTTTGTGAATGGGATTCGCGAACAGACGAGGACTCATTAGCGTTGTCGCGGTAATTGCGCGCGGAACGAGTCGCATATTTCGCTCTCGCGCACGACTCACGCCGAAAGGCCCTTAAATACGACTAATACGCTGTCCTACCGACGAGACAATAACACTGCATCGAGAGCATCTAAGATAAAGATAAGAGTGCATCGAGCAGCCGGAGCGTGCACGGTGCATACTCGCGCAACTCACGGAGCGAAGGTACCCGCGTAATCGTCCTCTCTCTCTCCCTCTCCCTCCCTCTACTCTGGTAGTTAGAGGACGGACGATACGATCGTGGTGGCCTCTTGACGCGTTCGCGTTTTAGTACTAACGAGGTCATTAAATTAAAAGCGCGCCGGCACACGACCGTATCGTCTTTCTCCTCAGGAGGACACGGGTAACCCCACCGTAAGCCCGTGGAAGACTCTTTCAGCGAGATTTTATGGTAAGGTAAGACAGAATTCAGCGCTGACAGATGCAATTTCGAAGGTGAAGAAAGTTCGTATCGTGCTGTTCTTCAATTCTCACCCCGACGATTCCTCCTTCCGAGAGAACTCGGAAAAAGCAACGTGGATAGGTATTACTTTGTTTAGGTTACGGAGTGTCACGTATCACGCGTACGCGTGTAAATTGCGCGACAAAACTGCGGGAAATTTGCATCAGAAGAGACACTATGCGGGGAAGAAGCGAAGCGATCGAGCGAGAGGACGAGTGGCCCGCTCGAAAGGTCGCTTTGAGCTCTTCAACTATCGGATACAAGGCGTTATGATCTTGTCGACAAAATTACTTTACCAAATTGTCCATCTCTTTTGCCAAGTTTGCACAATTTATCGTACCAATAGAACATGACGCGTATAATTGAAGAAGAAAACGAGCGAGATTGAAGATGACGCGTCAACATCAACATACTGTTTCACTAGTCTTCTTCGGATATTTGAATCGTTGTGCAAATATAAAAAATATATATAAAATACATACAATATGCATAGATATATAAAAGTATGTATATAGAATGCACATTAACAATTCGATGCACAAGACCGCGTCATGCAGGTGCACGAGATAAAGTGCGAGATCGTATCCTCCTCGGAGGATCTTATAATCGTGCTGTAAAATCGATACATACACACACACATACGCATATAAATATATATATTTATATGTATATGTATGTATGTATATATATATATATATATATATGTTCATAACAGATATATTAAACAGATCAGAAGAAGAGAAAGGAGGAGGCAGATTCCCGCTAATGAATAATTTTCTCTACTCGACTGACGGACTCTCTAATGAATCTCAACGAGCTTCTTTCCTCGTGCTGCTATATAATCGTCAAGGATCGACGTCGTGATATCTCCACGGGATCTTCATCGACGTGACGTGTCACGTCGATAAGTGGCGAGAAAAGAGAAAAAAGGAAACGGAGGAAGAAATGGCAAAACATACTTACGCGATCTTCTCGCTCGGCGATCGCCAAGGAACGTCGTCGTCCATTTCGTCTTCCGACTCGTCGCCTTCGTGGTCCAAGGACTCTTGACCGGGCAGGTGCAAGGTCGAGCTGGTTAACATGTCCGGGACCGGTAAAATACTCGGTCTTCTGCTCCCTGAAACATCACGAGCGAAATTAGCTACTAGAAGGAGAACAAGAAGAAGGAGTTTTAAACTACTTTACATACGCAGCGAAAGTGTGTCAGTTGCACGAGGACGCCACTTTCAACGAAATTATGTCGCGCAGATAGTGCCCTTTAAACTCCGCGCGTGGTGACCTTTAAGCAGACTCCGGTCTCGTCGTTAACTTAACTTTGCCGCTGGTAAGTCCGCGCTTAGGTTCAATACAAATCTTATTTCGCGGAAAATTAGTCTGTTTTTCTTCTATACGCTTAACGACAGGCTACGAGCGGTGCGCTTTGTTATTTAACGGGCTTCAACGGACTTATTTTTCTCTGCTTTCGATAACGAGGGAAATGATCGCCGGCATTCATATCGGAAATGGATCCAACGATGAGGTATAACGACTGACCTCTCCTTTGAGTGAGAATTTCCGGGCTAAGCAGATTGGGATTCGGGTCGAGAGACCGTGGCACATCGAGGTGATTTCCGGTGATTGGCGTTTGTGGCGTCGATCCTCCCTCTTTCAGGCACTGCCTCGAGTCCCCGAACCCTCCGGGGTCGAGATAAGTCGCTGCAACATGTAAAGCCGAGCGCGATGAGTGACTCTGATAACAACCCGCGCGATATTCAGCGGCTTTGCAAAATTGCCAATGGTCGAGGAGAGAGAGACAGGCGATATGTCTCCGCTCTGTAACCGATAAATAGAGAAGAATCAGAAGTGCGCGGACGTAGTTGAGCAAAAATCCGTCGCGTATCGTCCGTATCGAGAAACCAAACGGCCCGTTTGGAAAGAAAATATCTCGCGCTGACGGCGAAAGAGAAAATGTGATATGTAAGGCGCGACTTCAGGGAACATCCTGCTCTGTTATACTCTCGTTCTTTCTTTCCTCCGCATTTTTCTTCGTTTGTAGCCGCGTCTTTAGACGCGCCCATCCAACCGATGGCGTTTCAGGTTATCGTTCAATCCGGGCCAGTTCGCGCTCTCGCGGAATCTGTCGCACGGCGGGTTAGTTCAAATGCCAGACATGGATCCGCAATGGAGCGAGCAAGCGAGCGAGAGAATATTTTACGGCACAGTCTCGCAGTTTCCTATTCAGAAGTCGCGCTTATCGAGAGTTGTTGGTAGCGGGCGCTGAATAGCGGGCAAACAGTATAGCGCGTATACACGCGGATTACACGTAAAGCGAACGTGCAAGCGTAAAACCGCACACAGAGTTACCGCGTCGGAAAAGACACGCGAGTGGAAAGGAAGGAACGGCCAGACGTTTCGGACGCTTTATCGTCAGTCAACACTGCCTGCGGATTTAATCGCGCGTGAGATTCGACACACGCTATTATTTCCGCTCTTCTACGTAATTTCACTTTTATAGCGCAACCATACATTGTACGGCTGAGTTTTATACGATGATGACAATGACGACGACGACGGCGCGGTGAATCGACCGAAGGGGATGAAACGGGCGGATTCATGAATCACGCGTCCAGAAATCACCGCCGTTCCTCCTTTCCCCGGGAAGCGATGCTCATTGTCCCGTCTTATTATCTCGCCTCGGCTATACATCCATAGCGCGAAAGCGAGCGTGTCTCGTGTGAGTGTACGTGTGTCTGTCTGCGATGAGATTCGGACTGCTAACGAGCGTATATCTTCCAGGCGATACTTGACTACTCTATTCCATAATGTCTACCAATGCGGCAACCAAGTATATGCCAAAGAAATATGGATCTAGTAAAAAATAAATGCAAAGCACTTTAAATTACAGAAGAGAGCTCGCGATCGGTCGCGATCATAGGTGCTCATTTCGGATTATCAGTCCTCTGTACCTGTTAGTCAGGCTAGATCGAAGAAGAAGAAGAAGAAAAATAAAAATAAAAAAGAGAAGAACAAGTATAAGAAGAAGAAGAAGAAGAAGCAGCGATGCGCATGCGACACTCACGGTGGACATCGGATGCGAGTAAGTTGTAGTGTTGGATTGGTGTGGGCGTGCTAGGGAGGACCTGCAAAATAACCTGCGGCGGCAACGGGGCCCTGTGACCCTGGGGACCGTTTTGCGAGCGGTCCTGCGCACGGGGCCCCGTGCAGGTCTCCTGCCTGCGGAGTGTTTCGCTCAGCGCAACGTTACAACTGTTGGAAAATTGCCGGTGCGCGTCGGCACCGTTGCTGATTGCTGTACCGTTCCCGTCGCCGCCACCGCCGCCGCCGCCGCCGCCGACGGTGCAGCTGGTCGATAGCGTAGTGGTGGTGGTGGTAATGGTCGTCGTCGTGGTCACCGTCGACGTCGCCCCCGTGGAGTTCATGGTCGCCGTGGTAGTGCTGGTTGTTGTGGCGCACGTCGTCGGGCCGCCGCTCGTGCACGTCGCGTCCGACTTGGTCTCGACGACCACCTGCATCCCCTCGCCGGCGACGCCGCTCTGATTGTTCGCCACCACGAACGCGGAGTTCTCCTCCTTGGTGATGCTCATGTAGTAGCAGGTGTCGGTCTTCTTCATGATGTGCCGCGGCCCTGCACAACCGGAAGAACTTTGACGCTCACGACTCGCGGAGGATCGTGTATCGACGAGACGTAACTTCGCGAGACGCAAACTTTGAGGACGAAGGAGGGAAGGGGATCTTTTCGATCTCTTGTCTCCTCTCGCTTACAGAAAACGAGGACAAAATCGCGCAAAATCGACAATATAATGTCAAGAGTGTACAAGTGATGGCGCGGCGAGATTACCAGGATTCAACAGAATGGTGTCCTCGTAAAATTCCGGAAGCTCCGCCGGTCTGACCGCGACTAGCGCGACCCCGTATTTCCGGTGACTGTGGAAGGACGCGTAGGTGAAGGACTTGCCCTCGTACTCCCCGAAAAAGCGGGAGTCGCCGAGAATGATGTGATAGATCTCGTTGCCGGAACATTTACCGTACAGCCGGTGCCACTCTTCCTGCGACTGTTGACCTTCTCTGCGGAAGAGAAAGATCCCATTCTTTTACAGTGTCTGCCGACACGTTCGCGGTTCACAGTAAGAAGCGTCTCCTTTCATCAAATCATGCCCGTAATTGCGTGTGAACTTTGGCATTTGCGAAACTGTTATGATAAGGAATATTTGATAAGCAAACGTGCAACTGAATAATTACTCGCGCGGCAAATGTATGAAATATCGGCACACGAATGCACAGTGTACACGTTATTGCTTGCTTTACATGAAAATTTCGTTATTATTTGCTTTATGTGAAAATTTACATTTGTATTGAAAACAGTCGAAAAATAAACGAATGCGAAGCCCACGCGTCTGTACATACGTGAGCTGCACGTGGACTCTGTTGGGCGATGAAATCGGGATCTCGCGAAAACTTGCAATACATTTCGGTACTTACTGCCCTCTGGATGTGTGCAGCAACAGTGTGACCAACGTGGATGCGCCGGGACACGTGCAGTTGTTCGCCAAAAGGGCGTACTTAAACTCGTCCTCACACACCACGTGCTCCGCGAACTTCACGTGGAGCTTGTTCTCCGGACGGAAGATTTGAACGTACTGAGGAACGTTGGGCGCGAAATCTTTCACCGCCCAGGATCTGCGATCAACAAGATCATATTCCCCGTGAGATATTCGGATTCTTTCCTCCCTTCAGTCCACGTATTTTTTTTATTTATTCCCTTTTCAAGAATTTTGCGACTGAACCATCGAGGAAAACCTCGGAGCGTGTTCAATGTCCCGGACGAATCATGAGCATCGCGATACGCGCCGTGAAGTCTTTGAGCTCGTGCACGAACTGCTCCTTAGAAATTCAACCGGGAAGTGAGAGAAGTTCAGTGATTAAGATCAACGGCGCAACTTAGTTTCCTTACGAACTCCCAAGTAGAACTTAAATGAAAGAAGTCCGGGATATGCGCGGTGTGTGTACACGCCGACGAAGAAAATATCGAAGAGCGCGCCGTTGGCGTGATTCTCGCCACGAGAACGCAAATTCATTGCGGAAATACTGATTTCGCGGCAACCGCCCCGGCGAAGCGAGCGCGATTATTCCCGTCGATCACTGACCTGAGTATCGTGTGCTCGTCGGCGGCGGTCTTGTCGGCGTAATTCCTCGCCGCCAACACGAAGCAGGCCTCCGCCTCGTTCATCCGGGCCCTCGCGAGATCGCCGTCCTTCAGGCACGAGCCCTGTATGTATATCACCCTTTGCGCCCAGATCGGCACTTGCAGGATCATCCGCATCGTTGTGTCGAGCTCCATCGGCGACAGCAGCACCACGTAATAATCCTGCTCGGGCCGTGTGCGATTATTAGTGTCGAGAAATGACGAGATAAACCAGCGCGAGCACGTGTATAGAGTGTCCCGAAACTCGCAAATCCGCACTTTACCCCGAGAAGCTCTCTGAATAATTTAGAGTCCATTTTCTTTACAATGTGGAGACGTTGAAACATCGATACTTTTCGAGTGACCAGAAAAGCGAGATTTCTCGTGAACTGAATTTCAGACGACTAAATAACAAAATTACTTCACTTCGATCAAAAATTTCAATTTAATAGAATTTTAATTTGGGACTTGGCTATATATACTGAGCATTATATATACTTGGCACTGAGAAAAAAATTATTAAATTTCAAAAAACGTCTGTTTGGATAGTACTGTGAAGATATTTATTTAAATTAAATAATTATTTTCTAAAATTAAATAAAATTAAATAAAGAAGTTTTAGATATAAATTTGTTTTTTTAATTTTAGAAAATAAATACTTAATTTAAACAAATATCTTCACAATACTATCCAAACAAACATTTCCAACGTTTTTGGAAATTTAGTAAATTTTTTTCTCAGTGTATAGTACTCTCCATAAGTTTGCAAACGCAGATAAAAATAAGGATATTAAAATTGATATAATAATTCTGTTTTGCACTTACCTTTAGAAGATCGGCATTTATATCATTTAATAGAGCGAAGTTTCAAGTTTAGGAATCTATTTTCTATATTGCTGTGCGATGAAGTTTAATGGATTCATGAGCAACCGAAGTCAAAATGCTCAATTTTATTTTAACCCTTAGTAATACGGAAACACAAACTTGTAGAGAAATTTTTTCAAGTAAATTGTATAGAAAACTTCAATCTTTTACACGAAAGAAACTAAAATTTTCACAGATTTTTTCTTGCATTCGTGGTATGTCTCAAATTGAGAAACAATTTTTCACTTTGTCCATCTCGTTTTCATAAAGGCCAAATTACACTAGCAATTGGCGATTCACGATTGAATGTTGGAACTGGACCAATTGGAACAAAGCAAGCTTGAGGCTCGTTGACTCGTCAAAATTTAATCTTCAATCGTCAATCGCCAATCACTAGTGTAATGTGGTTTTTATGAAAATGAAATGGACAAAATGGAAAACTTTCTTCTCAATTTGAGACGTGCCACAAACGTAAGAAAAAATCTGAGAAAATTTTAATTTCTTCCGTATAAAAGATTGAAGTTTTTTATACAATTTACATGATGAACAAATTTCTCTACAATTTTGTGTATTACTAAGGGTTAAAGTAAAATTGAGCATTTTGAATCCGGTTTGCTCATGACTCCATTAAATTTCATTGCACAGCAATACAGAAAGTGGATTCTTAAACTTAAAATTTTGCTCTATCAAATTATATAAATGCCGATCTTGTAAAGATAAATGCAAAATAGAATTATATAATAAAATATCCATTTTAATATCCTTATTTTTACCTGTGTTTCCAAACTTATGGAAGGTACTGTATGTATACGCGAAGATGTGTTGAAAAAGTCGCCATAGACAATGATTTCCCTTGACACACATCTGCGCTAAATCATTTTGAAGTTACTCAGCAAAAATTAAGATCGCGAGTTCTGGAACACCCATTACACGGAATGACTAATTAACACGATACAATATCTTTATATTCGCGTGCTGTATATGTTTTCGAGTTCTTTCGATGACATATAAACGCTAGTGAACGTGAGTAACGAGTGTGTCCAGTTATATCTTATAATAGCCCGCTGACTTCGTCAGCTCTCATGGCGACCTTTGCCCCGATTTCATCTTTCGCGACATTAAATTCGAACCCGACGACATTTCGGAATTAAACGCGCCATCTGCTTTAACTACTGCGGGATAAGCCGAAACCTCGGCGGGAAGTTTTTACGGTGGCTGTGAGTGCAAAGTCGCGGGTGCGAGGCAAGCGAAATATTCAACGGACGTGAATTCGTTCGTCGCCTAACCTGCAGCAAGGGGTGGGCGTAAAACTCATTTAGAAAGTCCATGATGGTGTCGGCTTGCAACGTCGTGCTGCAAACCACCACGTGTTTCTCGCTCTGCGCCCTGTGCGACGAGTACGAGCCGCCCAGCTTCTGCCGTTCCATCCACGTGAAAGCTAATTGTTCGAACTGCAACCGATATGAGATAACGATTATGCAATCGGCTAATGCACCTGCCTGTTGTGTAAACCGTAAACGTAACTAGGTGGAAGGGAGAAGAGAGGTGGGAGATAGTTCGTTGGATTAACAGACGAACGAAATACCACCCGTGCGAAAATGAGAGCAGAGGGAGAAGAGTACCTCGTAAACAGAGTTGTAAAAAACGACTGTTTCTTTACGAGATACTCGTCAAATATTCGATCTTCTAATGTTTACTTAGTCACGTCGTTTATGCGCGACTAAAGAAGATCCGAGAGATGATTGAAACATTCCGAATTTCGTGAGATCACTCAGTAAGAGGATTGTTCGTATAACGCTCGTTCGATCTGTTGAAGGTCGCAATTTTCCGAAGGATTTATTGTTCTATATAAATCGTCGATTATATCTTCCAATATTACGCGTTATGGCTGTATGAATGTGATGCGTGCCGGTGACCGCAATTTTACGCGTTTTCACTCGCAAGTTTCCAATCGTCCCTGTCAAACTTTGTCACCGAGGTCATCGAAGCGTTTCTCTCTCTCTCTCTCTCTCTCTCTCTCTCTCTCTCTCTGCCTCGGCAAAGGGTATAGGCTTTTACATCGAATTATTTTAAAACGTACCCACGCTGTGCTTTCGAAAGCGCCAAATTTAATCGAACGCGGAAACGCGATGGTGGACATGACGTACGCGGAGAGGAAAAGGGGACCGACGTGTTGACCTATGCGAGTTAACACGTATATATCTCGTGTGCGATTGGCAGGCAATTTGACAGATAAATTACAGCGAGTGTGACGAGGCTTTCCGCTGTTGAGCGCCACTACGCAATCAGTCGATGGACAACAAGTAGACGCGAGTTGTCCGTGCCGCGCTTTTGCGCAATTAATAATATTCTTTGGCCAATCGAGTTCCTCTGCTAAACGCTAAAACAATTTTACGATTAATCACCAACTCGGCCGCGATATATTTAAATCGCCGCGCTTGCGATCGTTTTACGCTCATCGCGCACTCTCGTCGCTCGATTTTTAGAGGGAAACTTTACGGCGCGCTATCCCGGAACAAAAATATTTAACCCTTTCAGGACGGGGGCTTGCTCGGGGAGATATTATACGGAATTATTAATTATGATTATACGGAAGTACGTATTCTATGGGTTCTTGGGGTCGTTGAATCCGAATTTGAACTTAGATTTTTAAAATTCTGTGACCCAAGATGACGGAAAAAATGATAAATAATATAAATATCACTCAATTTCCGTGAAATTTAAACTATGAAACTTTCTAAAGATACTTTTTTGAGAACTGAAATCGAATATTTAAAATGCCGACCAAGGAAAAAAAATTTTTAGATCTGACCCGACCTGATCACATCTGCTCATTTCACTAATTCAAATTTAGAGAGGATGAAGTTCCACGGAAATTGAATCATATTTACATAATTTGGCTTTAAAATTGCCATATTTTATCCGCCATTTTGAATTTTACATTTTTTACTTCAAATTTGGAAAGAGCACCCCAAAAAATCCCTACATACTCATTTTTGTGAATATCGGATCGATAGTTTCTGAAATACATGCATGAAGGCCGTAGAGCCTTTAAAAGATGTCTCGCGTTCTGAAAGGGTTAATAAGACACACAAAGTCTAGTGTGCGATGCAATTTTGAAATAAAACTCTTAATGCTAAATTGCATATATTTATTTTTATATAAAGTTACCCGCGGAAAGCATCCCCGTGTATCACATTTTAGTACACAACGGATAACGTGATATGAAAGTAATTCTTGAATAACACCGTTAACGAGACTTTGACGCACGATAACGCAACAGAAAGGAGGCCTCTGTAGCGGAAAGTTTTCTCGGTTGCGAGCCAATTGCAAGAAAGAAGAGTTGATACAGTAACGCGCATCCAAGAAAATACACAGATCTTCGTTACCGAATTTTCGTTAGTCTCGTACAACCGGTTACCTTTTTTCTCAGAAGGCGGCGGCCTGTATGTAGGCGCAAATATGTATCTAAACTGCATCCAGCTTACTCAGATACGCGAGAAAATGAAATGATCAGCAACAAAACAAACTAATTTGATATTTTAGGTTCCTGTGTTCATCTTTCATTGGATTTGTCTTCGATTTGTTTCGTAAACATTTCAGTCTAGTTTTACATTAGTTTTACTTTCGTTTCGGGTTTTGTTCCTCTCTAAAAAAATACACTGGAATGTTCACGAAACGTCGAAAACAAATTCATGAAAGATATAGCACCAATTCGGAAGCCAAATTGAGTAGATTGAACTAGTTGGGGATTAACATCTGAACTAGTTGGAGATTAATATCTGTTTTTTGGCTTAAATAATAGACAAATCTATAATCAAAATTATAATTAATCGTCATATATATAATCGTGAATAATTTAATTCATCATATTAAAGTTGGAGTAATAATTAATTTTATGAATCGATGACATTATTTGTGAGTTTATATATAACAATTGATTAATCTTGAATATTGATTTGCCAATTATTTTAGTCAATAAAAATTATCACCGATTAATGCCTAAATGTAATCGCCTTCAACGAGAAAGAGAAAAGAGAAAGAAAGAAACAGTGAAAGATATACAGAGAAAAAGAAGGAGGGAGAGAGAGAATAGTCGGTGGAAGATAAAAGGTAGTCAAAAATTGAAAAATCTTCCCGATAGAAGGGAAAAAGAAAATGACCTTTTACGCAGCGAATATTCTTAACACGGAAACGATCCTTCTTTTTACGATCGGGCACGAAGCGCACTACTTGATCTCTTCTCGACGCGTATTCTCTCCGCCGGTTACGCAAGAAATAAAAGTGTTATGTGCGGCCGGACGGAATAATAAATATCCGTAATGGCGAGGGTCAACACCGTACCGGGCGGTACAACCGGCAGTCAAGACGGGCCCCGTTTCGGTTACATTTACGAGCTTCCCCGCGGTGTGTGACTTGAAAATAACGTCTATAAAAGAACGGTCGCGTTGTGACGCAGAATACGCTCGCAAACCGCGTCAAACGAAATGAATACGCACGCGAGTTTAATGCTACGCGCACCCTCGCGCGAACATTGCTCAAGGAACAGCCCGCCTCCTCCGGAGGTAGTGACGTCGGTAGATGCGCAAATCGACGTGACGCGTCGCGTCACCTTGCTACTTGCAAATGACTTGGACGTTGAATTTGGCAAATTGACAAACTCTAAATTGCTTCCTATGGAACTCTGTACTTTCTGAAGTCATAATCAGTGCATTCTTCACTGAGGTACTACGCTTAGTACTATTTAGCTCAGTGCTATACTTGGTAATATTAATACTATGCTGGAGTTGGATTTGAGTTTTCAATTTGAATTGCATAATACATACACATGACGTTAGATTTGTAATCGCGATTCAGCTGAGGAACTCACATCCAACATCTCTAAATTAAAATCTGAATATCTCACCTGAAAGCAAATTTCAAGGCCTATTGATATGAATCTAAAATTCATAATTTTAAATGTAAATTTGCCTTGCGTGAAACAAGCTTCAAGAATATTAAATTACGGATCTTAGACCTGGTTAAAAATCAGTGAGACATAAGACTGTGTGGTAAAGTGTGGGTGTTCTAACTGAAAATCAATGAATGTTCACTTCATCATAGGTAGAACAGTCCTCTTACTGATTAAGTCGGAAACATGTTTACTGATTCACTCGAAGAGAGTGCATCCGCGGAGACACGCAATTGCATGTGTACATGCATACGCACCTGCGTTGGTAATACTATGAGCGCCACGCAGATCATGATGACCATGTAGAGCTGCGATGGCCAAATGTCCGGCACGATGTCCCCGTAGCCCACGGTGGAGAACGTCACCACGACGTAGTACGTGCTTTGGAACAGGTTCAGGTGTCTGTGCCCGGCTCTCTGGAAGTGCTGGATCCCGCATACGCTGAAATACGGAAAATCCATCGGATCGATCGGAGGATAGCCGCAAGGACAGACACGGCGGAGGCGCATGATTGTAGTCACTTTACATGCGTCCGGCGTAAATTCACGTCGCCTATAACGACGGCATACGCTGGACTGCAGCTAACGTAAATTCGCGTTTCCTATAGTCGTCGCTGCAGGCGATGCATTGCCCTGCATTAAATCGTCGCGAGCCGTCGAGAATCAGCCAAGTTCCATAGTCGTTTCCCCGAGAGAGAGAGGGAGGGGGAGGCTTACGTACGTATGAGCTCGCATCCGTAAGCTTTAACGGCATCGAGACGATTTCTCCACACTTGGGATTCCACGAATACATCGTTGTGTGACTGGAATACGAATAGCTTTCGCGATTTCTGTAGATTATGTTTTACCGCTGTTTCGCATCGCCTTTATCGTGGCGTTTGTACCGTCGACACTCTCCTTTCCTCGATCGATTAGCGCGTCGTACGACGTGTCGCGGCGGCCTCGCGAAAATCAATCGCAATTAGCGCGGGCTCTTAACTTTGCGCGTCGACTTAATCGGCCCGACGCATTCCAGCCTCAAACGGGCAAATTCGCTGAGCTGTTTCATACCGAGAAGAGTGAGTCAACCTCTCTTTCTCTTCCCCTGCTTCTCGCCCGTTTCTCCATCTCGTCGTAATTTTTCATTCGGACGCGCCTCCCTCGCCCATAACGAAATGAATGCACAATTAGCCCGGCCACTCGAGGCAGGACAAGATAAAGCGGCGCCCTCTCGGCCGTCCTTCAGTCGCGACGGAATTGATGTAACGGCGCAAGAAAGGGAAGAGATTGAACCCCGCGCGTTGAGGAAACCACCGAGACCGAGTATAACGGGCGGCGTTTATAAACGGCCGGTATCCATTATGCATGCCGCGGCCCCGTTTCTATATCTATATCGACGTGTATATTTGTGCACCTTGTTCATTTTTCCTACCGCCCTCCTCCCCCGCGCCATTTCGCATCATCGTGCTTCCGTCCGACGTGTCGTGACAGTCGAGAGAGCGTGCCCCCATCGCGTGTTTTAATTAACAATATAGGCGGATCGATCGCGTTTAATTTATTCAACATCGATAAGAGTCTGCCACTCTACTCCCTCTCCCCCGTTTCCCCCGATATAATACAAATTACGCGACGCGTAACACTTTGTAATCGTAGCCGGCGACAGTAGAGGAAACATTCGTTTCGGAGCGGAGGCATTCGCGACGCGTGATGAACGTCGACGTGATGAGCGCGGTCGCCGCTCGAACAACATTGAAACACGCGCTCTCGAAATTCGCATTACGCGACGCGTTCGACCGCGGGGGAGCGAGGGAGAGAAAAAAAAACGAGAGCACACTACGTCGAAACGGTTGGCAGTCACAGTCGCGTTTTATCTCCTCTCAAAGTGCGCTCGTCAGCGGCCGTCGCGTTTTCGCGAGCCAACGGCGAATAATATGGTCGCGCATTTTCGCGAAAATTTTCATTGTTCCGCGTACAAACGCGGTCGTTTGTTAGTGTCGGTCCCGCTAACGAATCCCGCCGTCGCGCGCTTGCGACGGTGTCCCGATTCAATTGAACATTATTATTTCGCCGGCAACAAGCGACGCGGCCGACATAAAAGAGAAAGAGTTGCTAAAAATTTTCGTGTAGCTAGAAACTTCGTTTCGTCGCGTGGAAATTCTACGACGAGCCGCAGAGGGAATTCTGGATTCTGCCGAGAGTTTGAGACATTTCGAGAGATATCCTGCGGAATTATTATTCTCTTTAACGAGGAGCAACAAGTGTATCGTAAAGAATAAAACGAGGAAAAATCGGTGATTTGCATGCTGAGAAGTCTCAGAGCTGAATCACTCGACCGAGACGACGAGTTAGACACGACGGAGGAGCGGCAAAGATCGTATTACTTTAACGTATTATGCCGGGTAACAGGTGCTACAGCAGTAGAAACGTCAAAACGCCGGCAAGAGTGCAACCCGCATATCATTAAGGATAATGGAATGTAAGTATACAAACACGCACGGGGCTGTCGTGCGCGCGGAGATTATTAACACAAGATTTTCATCTCCGTACTCGTTGTCGGTACTTGAAACGTCCTTTCTCATACGCGTGCAAACACACACACACACACACACACATACACACGGACACGCCCGAGCAAACTTTGCCGCGGAGAAAGACAAAATCTCCGTTCAACGTCTATTATTTGTCACAGAAACGTTGAAATAAACGCAACGAGAAAAATCGTCAAATTATAAGTAGCTGAATCTCTCTCTCTCTCTCTCTCTTTCTTTCTTCCTCTTTCAATTTTCAAATATGACGAATTGTTGTTCGCGAACAAATTCTATCGATTTCTTTCAGCTCGACCATTACTCTGTGCCGACGACGTCGTTTGGAATCGGTAGGGGAGTAATTTGCGGAAATGTGGCTCTCGCGAAAGTTAGATGTACGAAAGTGGTCGGCCAGCGGTACGTTGCTGTTGGTAGCCGACCTAGACGGTGGTTAGCTACAGACGCGATAGCGTGCAATCGAGACTGCAGCGCTTATCGTGCATACCGCGCTCTAGCAACACGAAAGTCAAGCGACCCGCTTGCTGACGCGGCCGATAATTAAGTATCTCGAGCAACGAAGAGAGGATCGCGTGAATAATTGAGACCCGCTCGAGGACGGTGGAGACGCCCGGTAACAGAAACAAAACCAAACGAAAAACAACACGAAAGACCGAGTCGGGCATTTAACTCTTCCAAGAGGATACTGACGCATGTGTGTATAGCAAGTTGCAAGACGATTTAGACACAACGAAGTTGTCGGAAGTTCGCGAAACTACCAGAACTGAGAGTTACTTACGGACTTTTGCTCGGTAATTATATATATATATATATATATATATATATATATATATATATATTGTTAATTATAACTAGTATTAATTATTACTTAGTATTCTCTAAATTATGCTCTCAGTTATATTATTACGGCGTAAATCTGTCAGTAATGACTCTCGAGTGTGAGAGCTTAGTGAACTCCTGGCTTCATTGTGTCTGCTATAAACTGGCTTGCAACCCGTTGCATGCTTAAATAATTTAAATTAATTTTTCTTTCTGAATGCAAACATCGTGTGGGCAGGGATGTAACAGACAGTACTTGAATAAACATTCGCCAGAAGAGTCTACAAGTAAAAGGGATCTCGTATGATTGACGAGCGTCATATTTGTCACAGAAAATGAGATAATTTTTTTTATTTGAAAAAATTCGTTGAGAAGATTACCGAAGAGAGATGAAACAAAACGTATTGCCGTTGTCTCCGAAGGCAATCCTCCTCTCTTTCTTCCTTTCTTTACGACGCACGGCGCTCTAGACTCTCGTCCTTGTCGCAGGTAACACATCCGTGACAAGGGCGAGCGAGCAAGTGCGCCGCTCTAGAATCACACCGTAAATAATAAAGCGCCGCGATCGATGGTGATACCAATCCATCTGCACAAGCCGGCGTGCGATTACTTATTAAAGTCTGTCCCACATATCGCGATCTGGGTCGATCAGGTGTGTGTTTTGTCATTTCTCCCCGCCGCTTTCTCTAATACCGTGGGAAGAACACGGTGTTCAGTCGCAGTGATTCGTCAATCTGCCGCGGAATGTTCAACTGTCCGTTGCTGAAAAGCACTTCATCGGAAAATTGAAAACGGCCGGCCGGTCGAGAGGCGAGCTTGTGCACCTTGTGTCGCGAAAGCCGTTCCCCGCGAGACAGAATAGCCAATACGCCGCGATACTACTATTAAAGTATCAAGTTGGTAATACCGCTCATTACTGACGTTACAGCGAATCTAGTGACGCAAGGAAGCGTCCGATTATCTTGGTCTATTGTCACGACGTGACGTCAGAGATATCGTGGCGTATACGCCAGCCATACGATGCGCGTACCGAGAGGAAGAAGGCCATGCGATATGCGAATTTATACACCTGGAAGCGGGGCTAATCGCGGCTCGAATTTGTCGAGATGCTTGTCACTATTCGCGCACTAGAAATATGGCGAAACTTTTACGTCATCGTTACTGTCGCGCCGCCTGCGAATGACGAGTTGTTAGTTTTTTTCGCAGCAGCAGCTGCTGCGTCAGTCATCCCTTCAAAGTTTACGTATAGATTTTTCGATAGAACTGATCTCTCTCTCTCTCTCTTTTTCTCTCTCTTTCTGTCTCTCACGCGCGTATGCACACCGTAGAACGGTGCAGTTGCAAATTAATCGCGCGCGTCGTTGACGCGACGATTCGCGCCGTCTGCGTGTGACGGATAATTGCTTTTTCGCGTCTACACAGTCGACAGATTTTTGAGAATCCCGGAATTTTTCGGCCGAATGACAGTTCCTTTGCGGTGCGTGGTACTCATTTTCTCATCTGCACCTGCACGCACGCGAGACGCCAATTTGTGGCGCTTCATTCCCGGGAATGCTCGGATGTCGATTCGCGAGCGTTCTATCACAATGTTTTTGTGTGTCTAATTCCTCCGTCGGTGGTATGTAGGCCACGATGGAACCTCGTGAGCGAACGGCCATAATATCCGAAATTGATTCGCGCATGCGGACGATTCGTTCATTACTGCGATCTCGACGGAGCGCCTCTGTCGGGTCGTTTAGCGCGAGATACGGCTTTATTAGAAGATTAAACAAGACGAACTGCAGTCATCCGCGGACTGGATTCGTAAATAGGAACTTCTCCAGCGCCAAGGTGGTGGTGGAAACTTTTCTCGTTATTCGGATAATACAATAAGTCCCGCATACCATTGCAGATGAAATATGTTCGTTATGTAAACTTAAATAATGCGGATGCTATGGCGGAAATTTCATCGCGACCGTGTTACGACGGAGCTCGCGGATGTTACTTCGCGATTTACACCAGTGGCGCGATTAACATGTACATCATCAACGTATGTCACACATGCATAAGTGACGCACCGATTTTTCTCACTTCAGAGAGAGAGGTTCATCTTTACTCAAATTTTATTTGACTACCAACGTCACATGTGACATCATCCCCATGACATTTTTCATTGTATATCCGCCGTATAAACAAGCCAAGTCTGTTTCACACAATTGCACGAAAACAAATGTAATGTCTGGAGAGAATTGCTTAAACAAACTGTGATAATGGACGTGTTAATCCTTAGGATACGGAGCAGAGCGCGGAGCTGAACGCTCCGTGTATGGCCGATGCTCATCCGATCGCTCCTATTTTACATGCCCGCAGACCACAAAGCGATGGTTTTCGCTGATCAAATATATATACGATGCTCTAAGGGTCAACGCAAGTTGCACTTTTGCGCAGGCGAATTTATCGTGAAATACGAGAATGGGGCATCGCTTTGAAACACAGCGTTGAAATTTTCGTGTCGTGCACGAGGCTGTGCCGATTTGCGCATGAAATTAACGCGCAAATCGCCGGTTTCGCCAAATTCACGCGATGAATTGCTCGCCACCGCGACGGCTTGCGCGAGCAAGGCGATCGTTTGTTTTTGCATTTCAACGCAGCGACGTGAATTACTTCGCACGTTTTAATTATTCAGTCTGAAATTTGCAGCGAGAAGACGCGACACCGACTGGTGGGGCTCTCGTGCTAAACACACACGTAAGCGCGAATTGCATGACGGTAATATTGTAAGAGAGAGAAAGAGAGAAAGGGAGAGAGAGAGATACGAAATGGTCGACGCGCGACAATTGCCGTAATTCGCTCGCTCTAATAACGAGACGGCGCCGCCGATCGTCTCCACAGTTTATTATCGATCGAATGCGGAAACGCAAAATTGATATTTGCGCCGTACACATGTGGATTTAATATCACCGCCAGGATTGAAATTGCGGCCAGTTAAAATGTAATATTTGTTTAACAACATTGGTCCCCTTAATCGACAGTGTTTCCATAGTGTGTTCCTTTTCCCAGTTTTCACACTTTATACACGATTCAGTGACAGACGACGTAATATGTCGCTTTGTGAATAATTGTAAATTTACACTCGCTTTATACGCGTGCAATTGAGCAGGTTACTCTTCAAAATTGCAAAATCCCACGTGTCATCTCGCAAAGTGACGACTGACTGCGAGTTCAAGAATATCAAAGTATCCTTTGGCTTCGTTCTTCTTAGAATCCGAGTTGAAATTTTAGTTTCATTTCCGACCTGAACTTTCTAACATCTATATACTCTGAAGTATACTGAAGATCAGTGTGTGCGCGTGTATAATACACGTGGCAATTGAAGTCCTACTCAACAACTGTAAATGGTAGAAAACGTACAAAATGCCACTTGTGGGTTCTCGGCAATGTTGGTAGCTTAAATGGACTCAAAAGAGACTGATGTGGGCTTTAGAATATCGAAACATACGTGAAATGTGGGATATCGAGGCCGAATATAGGATCAAAATTTCGGCAAACCGGAACTTACTTCCGCAAAAACTTACGCCAGTCCGTCGAAGAATATATTTTAGACAAACAGGGAAGAGTGTGAATAATGCGATCTTACCTCGCGACTACTATATTCATGCAATTACCTCCGTTAATTATGATAGCGCTCGCGTAACCCCGCGACATTTCGCGTCGCTGCGACGCACGACGGCGCGCGGACGGACACCAGTCGAGTTGAAGAGTAATTAACAGAAATTGATGTAATGTAATTGCACAAAGCGGAATTTGCGAGGCTCTCTCTTCGATTGGTTTTGTTCGATTTTTACTGCGAGCAACGGGCGTGCGTGTGTGAGTGTCGTATGACGCCCCGTAGAGAGGGATTAAAATCCGCGGCATTAACACTAATGAAGTAATTAATTGTCGCGCACTCGTCGTCTCTTTGCGTACCGTAACACGCCGATTAACACGGCGAGTACTTTGTAACTTGGAGCGCGCGGAACTGCGTCGCTCGTGCAGACTTATACCGGCGCCTCGGATTAGATGTCTGCGGTGCGCCAAACATTTACTCCGGCTTAGCTGAAGTTTATGCCATAACAATACCGTCCGCGAAACTTGGCCATAATAACTGCCGAACACGGGTAAACGTTTGACTGCGATTCGGCAAACAATCTGCACGGTGAACGGCGGCGGCGGAACACAAGCAAGCAAGAACAATTTCTGCGCGCCGCGGAGCTGCGTTACACTCCTGATTGTTAATTGAATGCCGTGCCTCCCTTAAAGATCGCCAACATGCGTTTCGTTCAACTGCTTATGAATTTGCGCGCGAATGCGTCCTCTCAATTAACGCTGCTTTAATTAGAGGCGTCTTCGCCTCTGAGACTGCGAGTATCTCCTCCGGAAACTATCTGTGCGTGTAATTTGATACTCGGACGGATCTTGGAGAAAACGCGAACAACGCGATGTTATAATCGCTTCCACGCGATCGTTACTCTCGCCTTGCCCGCCTTACGTAACGATCGCGCCGAGGCACGCGGGAGAAACAATAATTTGTCTGGATTAACCAAAAGTCTCTAGTGAAATTCGAACGAACCGGGATGTCGGTTGGAAGTGGCGGAATTCTGATCGAACTGACAAGATTTCCGATTAACCCCGGAATCTTGTTTGGTTAAACAGAATTTTGTCGACTCGAACAGAATTCTGATGACTTCAAACGGGATGCTGGTTTGTACTTCATCTGACGTTTGATGAATTAAACTGAGCTTTTCTCTCCGTGAAAGAAGGATTTTGTCGAAAATTTGATCAAAGTGAATTATAATTTAGTTAAAGTGGGATCAATCGAATGTTTGATAACTGCGACCAAAGCATTTCGTCGTTATGTGTGATTTATGCCTTCTCAATAATATATGTACACAAGTGAAAGCGTGATAACATTAACCAAATTGTATATATATATATATATATATACCAGACATCTTTCTCCAAATGCAAAAATAATCTTTTTTTCGTGCACTCACCTAGTAAAGACAAGGCACAGTAACGTAGCGCTAAGGATCATCAGCTGCTGACTCAGCGCCGACTGGGACTTCTGCATCGCCCTATGCAGGTCGTTCTGGAATATGATTACCGATCACTGTCGAGCGCGCACCAGATTTAAGCACGACGCAAGCTACGGCGGCACAGCCGGCTCGGACACGCAGCTACTTACGAACATATTCTCCAGAGAGTGCTTCGCCAACCAGCAGTTCAGGAACACCGGGATGAACAGGTTTCTCATCGGTGGATATAATAACTGCAAATGTAACATTAACATCTGTGATCGCGCGTATTGACCTTCCACCCGGTGCTGATCGCGCTTTGTGAGCCGTAATTGCGACTCTCCGCGCGTGATAGGCATTAATCGACTATGATTTCCTTTGACTAAAATAAAATCGGCAATCAAAGTCAATTGATTGTCGTGTACAAAGTCACAAATCATTTCAGCGATTGATGGAATTAATAATTAATCGGTGCATAATGAATCGCATCAACGCTTGACTGATAATTAATTTCGTCTGCCGACGAAATTATTTGTAATTTTATGCATGACGATTAATCAATTTTATTTATTAATTTGTCCATTATTTTACTGAAAGGAAAGTTTTGCCGATTCATGATTAACACTGCTTCGATTATGCGCGAATTTGTCGCGGAATTAAGCCAACTGTGCTCAAATGCATACTGATTTTCCTAATAAAATAATGAGAAACGAAAAATATATAAAAAAAAAAGAGGAATAATGTACGAAGATATGACCTGCATTTCTTGATTTCTTGATTCGCGCGTGTGGTACGCATTTTTAATGGAAGAAGACACGATTTTTCTTTTAACGTTAAATTTAACGATGTTTAATGACCTACTTCTGTCAAAGCGGTTAAAATGACAGGATCTTGGAAAAATATATAATGAATGGAAAAAACATATCTACTTATACTTCTTTTCTTTTCAGTTTTGTTCGATCGCTGTTAAAAATGCAAGATTTAAACAATTTTTATAAGAAAGCAGCTGAAACCTCCCAGCGTTTCCCGGGTTATCAGAAAGCGTCAGAAGGGTGAAATCAAGGAGAGAGGCTGACGTGTCTAGGTTTCACGATAGCTTATATTTACCGCAGGACCTTAGAGAATAAGTATGCAAAATTTAGTCCAAATCGATCAAAGGGTTTACGAGTTAATATAGGGAACATACAGATGTTCCATTTTATATAAGATCCGTGTCATTTTGAACGCTTTGGTAGTTCTAATGTTAACAAAGAGCGAATCAAGCTTTGTAATTTTGCCGTCTGCCGGTGACGAATGAAGAGTGACAAAATCTTCGTAATCGAGCGCTCGAGATAAATATCTGACTGTAAAAATGAATGAAGGATGGGATTGGCTCGGGCTGTAATGAATACGCCGATATCGATTGCGCGCACGGTCTTTCAGACATTTTCGGATCACGCTGTCTCTCCTCGCGAACACTTTTTCTCGTCGACCGGTCGATTTGTCTTGGACCTCAATAATTGATTCATTAGATGAGTAAGCATCCGTCCCAGCATTTGCAAAACGCTTGCGGTCGCCATAAATGGCTACGTCTGTTATCAGCCGGTCGCAGATATTTACGGTGCAAACACGAACGCGGCTGCTCGATCTGGGCCCCGAGTTTGCTCATTGTTGCTTGCCTTCCAATATCAAAGACCGACCGTGGAGAGCGTGTGGGTCGGGTTTGTACACTGAATTTTGTATATACTTGGAGCTTTTGGCGAGAATAAAAACCGATTTTGAGGGAAAAAGCTCCGACGATAACACTCCCGCGGTATTTCCCTCGACGTCTGCTTCTCGTGACGCACTCGTCTGCGTGAACCCGTCCCTTCAGTTCGAAGGACAGATCTCCCCGGTTCTTTAATGAACACGCGCCTTTCACAGCGTCGTGATGAAGCAAGGCGCGTATGAACGCGAACAGAACCGGTGTCTCGTAAACATAGCCCCTCGGTTTACGCGCCACACAAACGCCGTCGCATAATCCAAAACTAATAAGGTTAAGCTAATTAAATTCCGAAGCGCAATACCGAGTGCACGTAATGTCGTTACGTACCGTCCGCCGTGAGATAAAGGTTATCCCCTATGGGGCATGCAAAGATCGATACATCAGAGCCGGCCGCGTACAACTTTGTCGCGAAGTCAAGTCCGTATACTTTCACACGAATATCACTCCGTCATACACATATGTTTCCCTTTTGTTTTTCACGCCCTCTTCGCTGTCCCTTCGTTCCTGTCCGCCGCGTTATCGGTCGCTAATTACAGCCCCGCATCGCATCGCGCCGTTGTGCGTTGCACAAGTCGACGAGGCATTACTTTTTGTTTAGAGAAAATAAAAAAAGAAGCAACCAGCAATTTTTCCATGCGCAAGGGAGACGCGACGCAAGAGCCGAGCCGTACGTAGCGTACGGCGACGTATATGGAGATGAGAATTGCGCCGTTTCTTTCGCATTACGAAATTAAAACGAATGTTGACGAGACATAAGAGCGTAACTCTAAAGATAAAGAAATATAATCCTCTTTAGGACTCACCGTGATTGTGAACGGGATCGTGTTGACAAGTTCCAGGATGAAGTGGAAGGACAGAAGCTGCTGCCAGACGTTTCCCTGCGAACATCACGAGGATAGCTCAACACACCCAGCGACAATTTTACCAACGTAGGAACTCGTGAAAGTATCGCCGCGGCAATAAAGTACTTGCGCTTCGCCGTCCTGCATTTCCCTCGCGGATGTAACTAAGATAAACTCGCGGTAATGAAATTGAAATATATAGAGGAAGAGAGAGAGAGAGAGAGAGAGAGAGAGAGAGAGAGAGAGAGAGAGAGAGAGAGAGAGAGAAGAGAGGGG